GCCCACGAGTACAAGGCAAGACAATTCCTAAAGCAAACTCCAACCGTCATGTGATCACATAACAGAGCATTACATACACTTCCTACCTTAGAAAACATAGGTTAGCTTTGCGAATTGCCTTCTACAATATATAGTGGAGTGTTTAATTTTGCCTTTATAGCGGCGGGACGGAAAGTCAACCAATCACGAACTCGTTGCGTGAAGATCATGAGGATTCTCTTTCCGGATGATATCTGCTATTCGGCTCATGTGTACTCATGTTCATGTTCTTCCTGTGTTCTGTGTCTTATAAACCTATCGCAACTAACTCTTTTGCAAAGTCCGCGGTTAAAGGGCATTAGGGAGGGCAGGCGGTTCCTACAACTTCAACTGTCTAAGAACTTGCATGCGGCTGCGAATGCGGATAGATTGTAATATAAAATGCTTTGTTTGTGTGATTACCTGACAATCAGGGGTCACTTTAGGATTTGTCTGGTCCTTGGTTGTGTGGGCTGATCTTCGTGCCGTGCTTAGGCCTAGTTGCGTTGTTCTCTTTGGAAAAATGAATCTAGCTTCATTTACCGCCTCCTTCCGCTTGGTGGATGCTACATAATAAGTAAGCATTTAGCTTAGGTTGCATCACTAAATTAGCGTTTAAACCACAAATATTGAACGTACTAGCATACAGATTTTGTCCGCTTTTGCAGCTCACACTTTAAATTAGACGATAATTTTTTAATGTTTTCCATATTCGTTTTAAAATTCTAATCTTTTCTTAAAACAGGCGACCTTTTTTACTTAAAGCAAATTGATCGATTCAATTGATGATCATTAAAACACTTTTTAAAATTGTTATCACGGAGCCGCTTTTTGCAAATCCTCGTTGGTTTCTGTTTTTGCCCAATGGCTGAGGTGAAGGATTCGAGCTTATTAATCAAGGATTTAAAGCCCAACATGAAACGCGTATGTGTGATATTCATCGTTCTCGAAATAGGTCAGTTAAATCGAGACTGTATTCATTATTACTACATGGGCTCCTCGTTTTTAGTCGTTCTCCTCATGTTTCAAATCGCTTTCCGTATCAAATTACGGTTTATCATGAATTTACTCGGTTTCGGTTGATATACAGGCTCTCCAGTTCGCATAAAAGATGGAAACGAAGTTCGGACGGTTAAAGTTGCTGATCGCACGGGATGCATCAATATGTCTGTTTGGAACGAAAAGGGGAATTTGATAGCTCCTGGCGATATTATCCAACTGACTCAAGGGTATGCTTTATCGACTTTTCTACTTTGTCCTCATTAGGAATACGACTGTTAGAAACGGCTGCCTCACACTGAATGTTGGTCGGTACGGCGAATTGGTGAAAACGGGCGAATTTTGTCTATTGTTTTCTGAACAGCCCGACTGTAGCGCCTACAATGAGAACTGGGTTAAGCTTCTGGTAAAATGCTCTTCTTGTTGGGTCATGCTTCCTTTTTTGTAGGACCTCCCGTCTAAAAAAATGCAACCTGAATATCCTTCAAAGACCTGAAATATATTTTGCATCCTACAACAATCTTTACTTTCTATTTTATTTTTCGTGCTTATGCGTCTTTTTGAAGTTATACTTTTTCCGTTTCATTCACAGCTGGGATGAAGGTATCCAGGAGATCTAAACCGTCTAGCAAATCGAAAAATTTGTCGCCACCCATTACTTTGCAACAACTACTTGACCGACTTACCGCAGGTGGATCTGAAGTCTTGAACAGTGATCTTCTTTCTGACTTGGTTAAACGAATTAGGTGTGCTCCCACGGTTTTTTAAGGTTCTGATTATTTGGCAAGTACTTAGCGCAGTTCCTATTTACTTAGTGGATCTACCACCGATCGCGATAATGTGCTGCGGCTTCTGTTTCGGCAAATTCAGAAACCTCATTCTCGAATTCGGTGTAATGTTGTCAAAGTAATCAAATTCTTGACTACCGAGACCCTGCAAGGATCACTGGCTGTCGAGGTTCAGGACAATATTCTGCTGCATTTGCAGGTACAGTCTCACTTAATGCATCATTTAATTATTTAGGACATTCTGCCCTTCTGTATTCCCACCACAAGCTTTGATGAAGCGCTACCACCACCAGAATCAGCTGCCATTGAAATGCAGAAGGAAATGCTCGAAATGTTGTTTCGGTGGGAACGCAAGGGTGTTTGTGCCACACTTAGTTCACAAGCATGGGGTCAGCTCGCCTCTGTTATGCGGTACTTACGCACTCCTCTTAAACAGAGCGGTGGAACGGTCCGTTTAAAAAATGCAGCTCATATGTTGGAAGCACTGGAACGGGAGGAGAACCAGCGGCATAGAAGAGCTCAAATGGCAGATGCTGTAATTCGGCGTCGGGTGCTCGCGGCTAGGGACGCTTATCGAGGTATATGCCAAGTGTCTACTTAATTAAGTCATTAGTTGACATAATTGTGTAAATATTATCGGATTTTTCCGTAGAACATCACCAATTTATTGCCGAGAATCTGGAATCTTTGGAAGGCGTTTTGAAGCTACTAGTTCCCGATCCCTTTCATATGGAGGACTTAACTGCCTCTGGGGCGTCCAGTCCAAGTGATTATCGAGAGCACGGTTTTCATACTTCGGGAGAAGTGAATATCACCTTCTCCCTTAACTTCACAAGGGCAGCTGTTGAGTCTGATTTGCTGCTTCCTGAAGTACAACTCAAACTGAATGACGATGTGCGAATTTTACGGGATTCTGGACGGGAATTTACTAGTTTGGCGATGAAGCACAGAGCAGTAGTGTCGGAGTACCTTGAGGCATGTATATCTTTCGGTTATGCTAGGTGAATGTGCTAGACGGTCATCCTGTTAAAGCGCTAGTGGATTTATCGCGACTGCTTGCTTAAAGGTTATCTATTGCTTCTCAAATTGCAAACATCAGCGCCTCCTCGATGTTGTGCTTATTTGCTTTGGCTATCGTAGTGGCACCCCATTTAGCTTTGATTTTGTTTCCATAATTGTGAAAGCTTTTTTACTCATTATGTCAGAATGATGAGGGCATAAGTGAAACATGAGATCCCGTATAGGCTAGAGTGACGTGGTAACGTCTTTAACTAAGTCTATTCGCAACTTTACGGATTTGCTTAGGCAAGGGAAATATCTAGAATAACTGTTTATCAACTGTACTGTGACGAACGATGCTGTTATTCCTTGCTTTTTCCTTACCTAGCTAGCGCGGCTTTTCGGGAATAGCTTGGAACTTTCATCAATCTTTACTGATGACAAAGAAGAACTCGAACTTATACTGGCTCGTCTGAATAAGGCTGTGAATCAATTTTCTGCTGTGCATTTCGTTGAGGAACTTTCGGAGGCTTCTACGACGGCAATAGAAGAAGAGGTCGAAGAAGACGATTTTGTTGAAGTCCCACCTCTCTCTCTTCCTTCCGATCAGCGGATCACATTGACTCCTGAGAGAGAGGAAGTGGGGGAAATTAAAAAAAAAGATGAAGACCACATTAATATGAAACCATTGGTTATTCTTACCGACAAGTTGCCCTGGGAGTTGAGAGGCCATCCCTCTTCTTCGCTTTCAAAACACCTTCAAAATCTTCATCGTGGCGGGCCCGCACGACCTCTTGGAAAATCAAGGTAGGTTAAAATTCGGTTCCTCCAAATCGCTCACGTATATATTTCTTTGAAGGAAGCATCTGAAGGAACTACGGCGTGAATTACCAGAAGGATCAATTATCCTTCCTAGTGAGGAGACCGGATCCCAAAAGCAGAGAGTTAGATTGGAGTCATTCCACCGATTTTGGAAGCCCATCGACGTGGCAGAGTTTGAAGCGCCTCAGATTAACCACTTGGAAGCTGCTATCTCTTTTTCTCCATCAGTCGATAAGCCTCTTCCCGTTAAAGTTGTCAGTGCGGAAGAGTTCTGTGAGTTGTGAGCCTTGGTTACAGTGTTCGATAACTCACATGAAGTTATTATGACAGGCCACACCTTCTAGCCGAATGCATGAGAATGGAACGTATGGAGGAGGATCAATCATGCCTTCACAATATCAACTTCTCTCAGGCAATCACAAAGTCTCCGCAACCCGATCAAGTGAACAGCAAAGCTGGATGGCGTCGAGGTCAGTGAAGCGGAGAAGAATATACGCAGCACCACTTGATGTTTTTCGCAGTTATGATAGCATTAAGATTAATAGCCCAAAATATTTTGCTTAATAAATGGTGGCAGGGACGTCAAGTATTCTCAACACCAGCCGAAATGCGGTTGTTGCAATTGTTGGTATTAACTCTTTAGCAGCATCGTTCCACAACTTTTGCACTTTTGACGTACTAATTTGCCTTCAGCACTCGACTGAGGTTATTTTCCCCTCTGATTGGTCAATCCTTCATGCTTTTGCTAGCAGCAGTGGCGATCCTTTTTGCTGCCTCTTCGATCACTGCGTCAAGTGATCGCACTATGCGATTAATGCGGGCACGCACACATACGATCGCGCATTGTGCGAGTACCGCCAAACCTTGCTCTATGACGCTTTCCTTTTTTATTTTTCAGTTGTTGGGACTGCGAAACAACCTCTGAAGCACCGAAGACACCGGTGCTCAGATCTTGTAGATGTATCAAAGATAGAAAAAGCCGCCATTCGACCGTTGAGGCATCAACTCCTTCACTCGTGAGCCACCTTTTCCCACTTTTTTGTTAGTATTTAAACTGTCACGCGCATTACCGTTACAGGCGAAATCCACGCAGAAAATACATGTCCGGCAAATGAGACTACAATTGCCACCAACTGATTGCGAACGAAGGATTATACCTTTATTTGGACTTTAAAATGTACAACCTTGCTTCTATGCGACTTGACTTATGAGATGGCAGTAATTGGTAAGTAGGGTCGAATATCACCCCAGCCGAAGTAGAATAGTTATTCTAAAAATCGGCGGTTTGCTAACTCGCTTCATCTTGTAGACAGCAGTTTATCAATTACACGCTCAATTCCTGGGCACGCTGATCATCTCGTTTATAGGGACGACCCAGATATCAGTGGCGAATTTCCTCTGTCCTTCACATAAAATGGGGACAAACTCACAAAATAGGTGCCTCTTTATGGTGTGTCAAGGAAACACATGATGTTAACTGAATGCGATTGTTGCGTGTTTGGGGATCGTGCAAGCAGCGGCGGATCTTTTATACAAACCAAGCAATCGGCCAAAATAGTTAGGTGAAGGATCGCAAAATGTAATCGAAGAATTTGGGGTGGAAGATGGATGGGGAAGCAAAACCATCGAACGTTTCTATCCTCAAGTTTCCTAATCAATGCGCGCGGGGAGTTCAGGCACCAGAGAGGAGAATATAGCGCAGACAAGACGCACCGAGGTGTCCCCGGCGGCTCGAAGTGCCTCTGCAATTTGTCCAACACGACTCCGTCCGACCACAGCGACACTGCCTGCTGAGACCTCAGCAACTGAGATGGCGGTGTTGTTGGTGGTGATTGCCTGAGAAAGCGAGACGATGCACTTTCTCAGAATCCATTAATCAGATGAGAAACATTCTTACATTGGAGTTAAGACTTAAAGATGAACGTCAGCTGAAATTTGTGGTTCTCACGACTTCAATAACACAAACATAGTCGCCTTCCACACCATCAGTCAAAAGGAGCGATAGGATTCCTGATCATCGTCTTCCTGCGATGGTACTGAGGTCGGATGATGAAGTATAGTGATGGAAGGGCAAGCATGGATGAGGGAGGTCAACTGCATGGCAGGGAACAAAAATTACCTACCGTCGAATTACAACCTAGAGACTTCATAAATAAGGTTATGAAAACTCGAAAGACCAGCTAAAAAAATTCTGATGACAAATCGGCTTCTATGTGAAACTCCAAATCCAATTAGTGCAAAGACCAAAAAGTCCGAGAGCTATCATTTTCAGAGTGGGATTGCTAACATAGCCCTTCTTAATTAAATAAGGAGAACCTGTTCGAATGGTAATAGGCACACAGTAGTCGCATTCCAGCAGTAAAAAGTTGTGCTAGAGGGGGAGAGTTGAAACTCGATCGGTGCCAATACCTATTGGTTGGTGAGGTGAGAAAGTTAGGTGTGCTCAGTCTCTAAAGGGATGGGATGACTTATCCATTCATCTGATGAGGAACAAGGATGATGGCCTTACCTTAGCACTCGTCATTTGGTTAGAAGACATGCTAACAGACATTTGGGGTTGATGTTGTTGATTTCAATGATTTCCTTCAAGTCTAGTGGAGCGGCAGAGGTTAGGGAAAGCACGGATTGGATGTATTGCGATCAGATGAAGATTCAATGCGAAATCCTTCCAGAAAGTTCTTAAAGAAGCCCTTGAGGAGCCCTCGTAACCACCCATTTTAGCTGTCGTGCACCAGAAGAATCGTGTAAAACAGAGGTAGTGAAAGTGCTCTGACGAGGATCGATAATCATTCGTAATGCGCATCTCCGCGGGGTGTCAGTAAGTTGGATAATAAACTGTATTCTAGCACGCAATCTTAACACCTATGCTACCTAGAGTTACAACGTAAGGTTCAACGATGCATCGATTTGAGAAAAAGATTATCAATGTGGCACACAACAAGGTCTGCACTCCATTCAAAAAACTATCATCCTACATTCCAAAAATTGCATTGAATTGTTTAATCCGATCGGAGGCATTCAGAAGGAGAGAAAAGTGCAGATAATCTGTAAACAGAGAAACTAAACAATCGCCTTGACATCAATTCACCATAGCACTAACAAAAGTTAAAACATGAGTAGCTTGGGAGCAGCAAATAATTCTCAATAGGAAGCGATAAAATACAGGTGTGATTACGCAGACATAAGTATAGCAGAGATGATATTTTAAAAATTCGTTGAATATGGAGGTCCTGTTTACTGTCCAACCAGACACCTACAAAAATTGCTGTGGTACAATCATAAATTGCACTGACTCAAAATAGAAATAGTAGGCTTAACAAGGACACCTTCTCATTGTTACTGTTTTAGGAGTCGTTAAAACCAAAAGAATAAAACAAAAAGTGGAGTTGGAATGCTTTTACGATCCCCGCGTCTTCAATCTTTACAAAGGGGAAGAATTTCTTTGTAACACGGAGGCGAGGCTCCGCTGACGGATAAAAATAAACAGTTAAGAGCATCACTACTAGTGCTTCATAGCAATTTGACAGAAGAAAATGGGCAAAACGAGCTTGGAAAAATACAGCCGCACATAAATATACTCATGAAATAAAATCGAATAAAAAGGGCTAGAAATGGCCAAGCCTCATTGGCAGAAGTTTATGAACAAAAAAGACACTTGCTTGGTGAGAGTTAGAAGCCGCTCCGTTTTGTGATGTCACTTCGGTAGAGAACTCTTGTCCTTGCTGAAGTGATTGTGGCTGTGGAGGAGCAGGTGGATCATTTGGTCTTCGCCTTCGAGCCTCATTCTGACGTGCGAAATTACGCCTATAATGAAAAAAGCTGCCTATTCCTAGCTTTAGAATTCATTAAGCTTTTCTACAACCTTGATGACAATTGTCACTACGCACCTTTTTTTATGGAAATATGTAAGCTCATACAAGGCGAGGAGTTATAAGGTGGAACCGTACACGGTTACAAACATACCAATAGGCGTACAGACCCACAGCAATGACAAGTGCCATGCGCTGCCAGGAGGCGTAGGTGATACAAATCGCAACTAAGATGCTGACACGAAATACGGCGTAGGCGAAATCAAAGAGATCAATGGGATCTTCACCACCTAACTCCACATTTTGCACTTCAGGCGCCTCCTGAGCTGGTCGAAAGCCCAAAGCCCTTGCCAGATGCTGGAATGCATTCTCTTCTCGCTGTTCCGCTCCCTCCGCAACCTCTATCTCGACGTTTATTACATCGTTTCCATTTCCTGTTTGCGAGTCATCTAGATTAGTAAGAGGTGCTTGTGTAACAGATTATCAAAGTGGCAAACTTTGGTGCTACAACATTTATAGAACTCACAGGATGGAATTAAAGCCTCACTGTTTGTGGTGCAATAATAGTCGTTGAGGTACTGCAAATACTGCTCCTTCAATTTATTCAGGTCCTCAGAGGGATAATCATCTGCCCTTCGAGCAGCCATCGCAGCTTTGACCTTATTAGCAACGGAAGGGGATAACACAAGATGGACAGTTCTCAAGATTGGTTCTTGTCCAATAACTACCCTTAGTTTAGAATCGTCGGAGAGGATGCGACCTGCGAAAATTAGTTTTTGACTCTCAATAGGAGGTTCTCCTGGATAAACTTTGCTCAGATGCCTCTTTAGATCGATGGCCGTCCATTCAGACTCGATTTCAATTATTTGCGACGGCAATCGCTGATCAGCAGAAACAACGGATAACTGAAAGTGCGCAGTCTCCATAGTGGCGCCAGCTGACAACCTGTGCCGCAAGTGATTGGCACACGTAGACCGTCGCGACTAACAGGTCCTGCACTAGCCAATCAGAGTCAAAACCAGACGATGATGATATTTTCATTAAACCTTAAGTAAATGGTTAAGATTTTAAGTGTTTTTAATGATCGGCATAATTTATACATTTTGATTAAAATATCATAATCGATATTGTTTAAATTTTACACTTTACAGTTGGTTTTGTAGAAAGAATTGGCAGACCTAGCATGCAATTTTATCAAAATTATCAATATACGCCAAAACATTTCAAATGTTCACCGACACACGCACAAGGCAGTGGATACGTATACCAAGGCAAACGACTGTGCCCGTTTTTTGAGTAACGTTTGTAAGCCCAATACTATACTCGGGACAATTCCTCTAGGCATCTTCGCAAGGTCTTCTTTGGGGAGCTTTATTAGATACAATGAGGGTCGCTGTTAGACAAATGGAGAGGCAAGCCGAGGATAAGAGCGGATCAACTTCACGCTCCTCGAGGATGGCGTAAGAATTGAGTTCTCTCCCCAAACTGGACTACAATATTATTGGCCACCTCGTAGTAACGTTCTGAGGGTTCTTTGTGAAAAGAGGACCCTATGCCTGAGTAACGTACATTTACCTAGTAAAATGCAGAAGTAATTGGACTTTTGCTTTGGTCCATGGCTAAGCCAACATGACTACCTGGGCGACCTCAACCAAAGTCGGAAGTAAAAAAAAGCAGTATTGGCGAACTGTGAGGCGAGCGCAATGCTTTGTTTATGTGACCATATGACATTCGGCGGTCATTTTAAGATTTGTCTGGTCCTTGTACGTGTCGGGCGGCCCCCCGGCCATGCTCAGGCGGTCGTTTCGTTCTCCTCGGAGTGCGTGCATCCAGCCTCACTTACTGCCTTCTTCTACTCGGCGGGGAGTCCCAGGACGCTACAGAGTTCCTAATTTCCTGACCTCTTCCCAAAGAAGAACAAGTGCTATATTAGTATGTACTCAAAATTTTGGATAGCAAACCTTGAAAAAACAACTTGAATATCACATACACGTAGTGACCAAAGTAATCTGGACTCTTAATAAAAGGAAAGGGGAAATCAGAGCGGCGATAACTTACAAATGATTGGTGCTATGGGAGGGGTCATTAGGACGTAGAAGGCAATGGACAGATGCTGGGAAGACAAGATGAGTCGTGAATGTCAAGGGGAATACATGATTGCATTGCGCACACTTCCATCTACTACTACTACTTCAGCTCCCTACAAAGGGAATAGGAAAACAGTTTGAGGTCAACATGATAAGATTGATCAAACAACATAACTCAAATAACTTACTCCGTCTCCATGTCCACTTCCAGCTCCGGTGGTTTTAAGAGGCGCTTTCGCCGACTGTGATCTTCAAATGGGCTTGAAATTCCATTTGCAACTTCTAAATCACCGTTTAAGGGCCTCAAGAGCGATGTCCTAGCAAGTCGATGTGATCGCATTGTCGGCTGAATGGGCCTTGGAAGGGCTTCTATTTCTTGAGGGGAATTCTATGGAAATGATTGCAGATATCAAGTTCGGTAACCTAATAATTACTACGATTACGTTCTCAGAACACTCACATAGTTCAACCTCAAGTCGCGATCAAGAATCAGACGTGGAAGAACAAGACTTTCAGAGTCTGGTAAATCGGGTGAATTTAATGACCCCAGTGACTTCGAAGAGATCGACCATCGATCAATTGATGGGCTTAGAGGTTTGGAGAGGGACTCGTTGTTGGAGGCTATTCGTCTCGACCTGCCAAACGACATTATCGGACGTCCATTGCTCAGTGTCGGCTCTGGAACCAATGCTAGAGGAAGAATTGGAGTCTAACTGTAAATTCAATGCCCACAAGAATTTCGTGAGAAAATTTCCAGTCAAAAGTTGTGAAAGGGACCTCCTGTGAACTTCCTAGCCTGTAAAAACTCAAAACAGATGGGTTGCTTTTCTGAAGAAAGAAACAGAGAAGGCGAGATAAAACTTCATAAAAAAACCTAGCATCATGTTTGCTGGTCCATTGAATGCGCTTATAACATTATGTACAACTTATCAGCATTAGCTATGGAAGAAATTGATGTCTTACAGCCTCCAATGGCTTATTATAGGACAAAATAACACCTACATAGCTGAGTACGAAAATCATTCTCAAGACCACCAAGATCGTCCTTGGTCTCTTTCCCTTCTTCCTTATTTTCCTCCATTTCCCCTACGGTAATCGGACTGCCTGAGGAGTGAATAGGAGAGAGGGCAGACTGAAAGAACTCTATCCCCGACATGGTCTCATCCGACGTATCTTGTGATAGCCTTGCTTCCTCAACGTCCTCGCTGTAGACCGAGGATAATGTGTCCTCTGACTCCAACAGAATCTCCGCATGAGCCTCATCAAACACTCCGGTCATCCAGTCTATCGACAGAACATTGTAGCTCTGTACTTGTCTGTCTGTGGAATCTCTCCGTTTGGCATCGCACAAAGATTCCCTTTCATCGGTTTCGAATGGCGGTGGCGTCTTGGGGGGCCGTGGATACTGCTCTAGTTTATTTATACACACCACCGGCCATCCAGAAGACGCTTTACCAACTTCCACTCCATCTGGCGTCTTTATTATTGTGTTGCAGACTTCATCAAACAAAGCCTCGGATTGCTAGTAAAATTGGAAGTATATTTCAGAAAAAGGATACGAGAAGGAAAGCACTTTAGTGGTTCAGTAGAATTTACCGTGTAATCTTGCAGAATCAAAGAGGCACCAAGGTCGCTGAAAAGTGAGCCCAGCAACTCCTCTAAAACCCCTGAGGAAACGTCGAATTCGTTTTCACGAAAGCCGAAGTTTTCCGTAAACGCCATGGTGAGAGACTTCATCTTGTACTGGTTGTAAGCCTGGCAATTAAGACGGCAAAGGATACGAATAACAAGCTTAATTGGCAATGAGAGGAGTTGATTCACTGGATGAAGAAATACATACTTGTTGAGCATCTTCTGGAGAAAGCAAAGTGGGAGAAGTCCGCTTCAATTTGTTTGGAGTGCCGGCGAGAGTGACCTTGAGGTTTCGAAGCTAGATGAGAAGGATACTGAATGACAAGCAGGGAAGGGCACAGCACACCTATGACCACTGCGGAGAACTTACGTGTTCCACGTTGGAAACACGAACTGCTTGTCGCAGATCACTCACAATGAAGGTGGTCCATCGTTCCAGCGTGGTATTCGGCAAGTCTGAGGATGGAACGAAATGGGAAAGAGAACATTACGTTGATACGGTGCCTCCATTTCTCGACTTTAAAGATTTAAGTAACAATACATTCCAATATAGTTTTGATTTCAGATACTTCAAGTACTATTAAAAGAGTTTACATGAGGCTGCATACAGACAAATGAATTTGATAAGACAAAGAAAAATATCTCACCTCGGAGTATGAAATTCCGCACATTTAATCCCCAATTAATAGGTTCCTCAGCCGATGTATCTTCCTCTATCGCCTTTCCGGCACCATCATTAACATCGCCACCACTGTTACCTGTACTATCAGTTCCATGCGGCAGCCACCAAAAAGCTTCGTCATCCAATGCTGCCACGTCACTATCCTTCACAGTCGGGTAGTCTAGCGACTCGGTCAGTTTTGGGTGAAAGTACCAGGCAAGGCGTAAGGCCATTTCTTGCAGATGACCCATGTAGCCTGCTCGACGGAAACCCGCCTTGCCCCTGTTAAAGAGGACAGGGAACCATGTTCAGCTCGTAAAAGAGATCCATCTAGCTTTCCAAGGCATTGTACGAGCAATAAATTAACTCGAACTATAGGGCTGAATTGAGCCGTACATAAAAGGGTATGTATTCAAATTCACCTCAAAATATTTAGAACCGCAACGTCAAGAGGTTGATAATATGCTCAAACACCAGAGAATAAGATGCCGGCTATGAATAGATAAATATCCAGTGATTCACGCTTGAGTTGAAAGTGAGACCCTTAAGTGCTTCAGAATAGGGCCAAAGCCTAGGTCATGCTACGGAGGAAGGGTGATCACAAAGAGCACTGAGGTTAAGCTCGTAGAAAGACAAACTTTGCGACAATTGATAGTTATTCACACCACTTGACTGGCAGCTCGATTGCGTCCTTTAAATAAACCTAGTGAGAAGGGTAGCAAGTGGTTTTTCCTACCAGTACCATACTACAGCTTTCGTCTGACCAGCTGACCTCGCAAGTTAGTGAACAAGGTGCCATTTTAAGGCGACTGACACATCATTTTTAAAAATTTGGGGCTTCAAAACAAGAGTCAGAAAGGAGAAGGTACTACATCAACTGACACAGAAAATTAGGTTCTACCAAACTGATCGCCAATTTCCATTCCCTCTCTTGAAGGCACCGACGACCTTATTCTCGCATTAAAAAAGAGGATAACTGCATATTGGGAAAAGACTGACCTAACCTGGGGAAAAAAGGGAACAAGAAAGAAGCAGAGGAGACCGGCAAGCAATTCATGTGACTCACATCATCGTACATTATGAGGGAGGAAAAAAATTGGCATCGGCAGTAATTTAGATAACAAAGTATTGGGAGGGAAAGAGAGAGTGATAGAAGGTAAAGTAAAAATAAGCAAGATCTTCCAAACACGAAACAAAATTTCAGCGAGAAGAAGCAAAATATGAAAGAGAAGATGAAGGAAGGAGTAAGGAGATCTTACTTGGAAATCCTGTTTAGATCCCATGCAGTAAGTAGGCGATCCAGGAATCGGTGTTTTACCAACATCTGCAAGAAATGGGACTTTTTGAAAACAAGAAAATAGGCGATAACCCAAAATACTATGTTGTTCAGACGGCTGTCAAAAAAACTCGCCAAAACTCAAGGCAAAAGAATGGAATAGAATCGGCAGAGAGTGTCTACCTCAATTGGAGGATACAGCAATGACTTTGTGGTACATTCGCATCAATCAGTCGTGCAAAATGAGTCCTCATCTACCAGAGAATGGAGCAGGATATCGAAGAAAATAGTCAGTTTCAAAGGGTTGGAATCAACCTGCTGAGTTCGAGTCTGACAGTGGCACGGCTATTTAATTTCAAGAATGATCTGATTATAATATACTATCGGATCTAACGGAGGCATCTTCAAAATCGAAGATAACAGTAGATCCATCGTTCCTGGAAGAAATGGAGTTGCATCCAAATAGAAGTGACTAGTTTTGCAGATGGTCGTGAATTACACATGCCTTCTGGCACTACTATTCCGACTAGGCTTTCAACGAAATTGTCTCAAATAATAAAAAATCTAACAAAATCGCAGAGTTCTTCAAATCCTGCAGCTTCGAAAGGAGGACAAAATATCCTGTTTGTGAGAGCATGTTAGTTCTGATGAAACTAGCTTCGACGCTTTTGAACTCTGTTTAGGCTAAAGTACTGAAGCTAGCAAGGGCGTTTAATAGAACATTCACCTTTGGCAACGATGATGGGAGATCAAAATCACTTGCAAGGCCTCAAAGCGCCTCAATTCTGCACACAGCAGATGGTATCTGTGTAGATGGTGAAAATCTTACTGAACGCCAAAATAAATCGGCACAAATGAAAAGGGAACCAGTTCACACAAATGATTGTTAGTGAATGGAAAGTTTGTAAAACAGTCTTTACAATTGGACCATTGAGAACTTGGTAATTGATGAAAGCTTTCTCAACTCTAGAACGTGAAGAAGAGTCCCAACACCAAAATACATGAGAGCACACGGTCACCTGTGAGTAGGCAAGATCACTAGGCAAATTCAGCTTTAACTAGTGCTAGCACAGTAAATGAACCACTGCAAATCCACCTACTACCTCGCAGACCTCCTCATCGAACTTCAGGCTAACCAAAAGAGACATGAAGAACCCACCTGGTGAAGAATTTTGCCGTAAGGCCTCAAAGAACTCGGCAGTGAATAAGGCGATGATTCCATCGATGTAGACGGCTCCAGCGGCTGTTGGCTAGAGGTGTTGGGTGAAAGACCTACAATTGACCGAAGAGAACCTCAGAATCGGTGCAGAAGCAAACGATAATGCTAATCCAGTGAAAGGAAAAATTACGAATGAAAAGTAAAGACACCGTGAACGAATAAATGTTAGCGATGATAACAGTGAGCTCCAAGGCACGGTGGAGGGGGAGGGGGGAGGTTAGGGATAAAGAAAGCTATAAATTGAGGTGATATCGCACCGTAATAAAGAATGAATGTCTCCAATAATGCGCTTCCCGTAAAGAAATGGATCCAGTTCTTTTAGTACCAATGCATCGAACGTTTACGTAAAAATAAAATACTCAGCTATTCCTTGGAGGGATCTGGTCAGGGAGACTTAAAAAAGGGAGAGTTATTGGAGCAACGTAGACTTTTGTAAACTTTTTATGCTTGACATCGAAAAGGGACGAAGGTTGGCGGACTGAAATCGATCAAAAGCAACTCCATTTGTCAACTCCGTGGGTAACAAAGTGCAAAGGCAGTTTTACGGAAGAGAATGAAACCGTTATTGAACTACAGGGCAGCAATAAATAAACGCTCAACATTAACCAAATTTTCGTACGAAAAACTTACTGCAGAGCATCATTAAAGCTTAGGCAATGAGGGGCGTGAAAAGTGAGCTCATTGCCGCCTAAGAGACGTAAAAATAATGTTAATCTCATAGCTCCTATAATTTTGAAAGTTTAGCCACTCCAAGATTCTTATCCTTAATTCACTCATGCCTACGTTGATCATCGAGACAGCATGAAGGGCAATGGCCAAGAAAAGATGATGGTCCCTTACAAGGTCTTAAGGACCAGCCTTGAGAGGTAGAGAGCCAAAATCTTCCCCACACCAATAATTTTCCAATTCTTCCACTTCTTCATTCACTGCAGTAACTTTGGTGCAATATCTCATACTCCAATCTGTAACTATCGCAACCAATCTGACAGAATTGGAAGAGGTACCACCTATTTAAAATGATTCATTGCTTACAAGTCAAAATTGGTCATTTCGTGCTTAACCAGGCACGCACTCACACGAACTACACTAGTCAACCAGAGTAGTAGCAGTTAGATCTCGAAAAAGAAAAGCAAACCCTTTCGGTTAAAGAGTTTAAAGTGTTTCCATCGAAGAACGCTCTTATCTGGAGTAAAGAGGAAAGTTCAGTAAATTTGAGGCGTAAAAGAATGTGTAATAAGACGGAAAGATAGTGTCAAATTACTAGCAGCAATAGCGACGCCGCGGGTGCCTTCAGTCAATATCGCCGATTTACTCGAAGGGGGAGAGTAGTGGAAGGCTCGACGGAGGATGACCTGAGTGAGGAATTCCAGGGTACAGTGCATTAAAGTGTTCCATTTAAAGGCGAAAAAAAGGTCCTGCAAGAGCAAAAGGAGGAAAACAAAAATATTAGACATCACCATTAGTGAATCATCATTGCTAAAAACTATTTGCTGGCCTTTGATCGCAAACAAAGTTAAAGAGTCTTCTGGACGTCTTGCAAGCCTTCCTTAGTTCCTACAGCTACTTCAGGGACAACTCAGACGCCGCATAGTTGAGCGCTGATTAGCTTATTAACGCCATCTCAGAGCCTGCCAACTGGATAGTACGGAAAAGCTACGGAAGAAGAGAAGGAACAGTGGATAAATGAATTGACGATGGCTCTATAACCACATCACCATTTGTCAATTATCTTTAATGATGGTCAGTAGTGAGGTGAGATCAAGTGGAGACAAGGAAAACGCTTTTACGGATCTAAAAATGATCCTGATGAATGACATTGCAGCAATGTGGAAAGTGAATACTCGCCACAGATTACTGTAATGTACCACAAGGAACAGAAGGAGCAATATGAGGTAACTTCAAGAACAGGAATGCACGTCATCAAGGATGAATCGCCCAATGATACCTTGCTCGATGTTTCGATGTCTACGGAATTACACAAAGTAGAGTGCCAGTATTGATAATTAGAGGGGGAAAGTTGACACACGCAAAGATTTACACGATTACACGACCCTTTTAGTAGATGCCACAGTAATTCTATCAGGTTTTAACAACTCAGTCTCAAACCTAGCGAAAGCAGAACAAGAGCTATTCCTTGAAGTTCCGCATACCGATAAAAAGATTAGGCAAATCATTTTACCATTCTCACAAAACACTCTCTCGTTTTAAACAAACTATGTCCTACCCTGACCCCACTTCGCACATCTATGCAACTGCTGTGCTTTTATCGTGCACGCTCCATCGCACACGGGGATCATGTCAGTGGAAAGAGTACTGAGGAGTTCAATGAACTAGAACGTAGTGTCGTCCCACCACTATCTCTCCAAGGTATTTCCATCAGATCCATTCAGTCGATTTCCTTCTTGCCTTACGAAAAAAATTCGTTAGTGTGCAACGCTTCTACGCACTACAAGGCATCAATTAAGTTCAAACATCATTTGTGATAGGGAGCCAAGCAGAACAGAGGAGAAGCGTAAAATAACCAATTCCAACAGTTAGAGAAATAAGTTGACCGCATAGCCAGGATACTCCTTGTTGAATTGCCCATTTGATTTTCCAAATTCTTTTAGGTTTTAAAGATTTGGTTCTCACAACGGTGACATAAGTCTTGTCGGTGCCACCTAACAACTTTTGATGCGTTAGTTTTAAAAGTGCCTCCAATTTTCAGGTTCTTTGATAAGCCGCAGAGAATAAGTCAAATTTTGGAAACGTGCCACAAGCTTTCAACCCCATCACATAACATCTACAAATGATAAGACGCAGGAAGTTTGTGATAAAAGCTTCAGGCAATCTGTTACAATTGCAGATGAACTGAAAAGTAGAGGCAACTCACCACCATGTTCCCGATAAGATCCAATTCCACGAACTGTTCAACGACTTCAGCACCTTCTAGACCTTGACAATTGAAGATGAGGTGACAGAGAAAACGCATTGCATTAATTCGGCCCATACCCAGTGGCTGCAGGGGAAGACATGTTCGTGACGTAGAAGCATTGTCCTCCGCGTCGTAAACAACGCCCTATTTAAATAGGAGTAAATGACGCTTTACGACGTAAGGCGAAATTGTTCATTTGAGAGTAGCACAGAGATGAGCTAGTAATTTCCAAAAGCCTTATGTTCACTTATAGATGCACACAAGCTACAACTTCTCCGAAGGTAGTCCATCTCCAGCCTCACACAGAATAAAGCACGAATCTCGTCTATGCCAAGCTGATGATTTGTATTAACTTGGAAAAAGTGAGTTATCAATTGTAGACGACTTTATTTGCAAAGACAAGCAAGTAAGGCATCATCGACCTATAAACAAGTCCGACAATAAAAGTCACGAAAAAGTGAAAAAAAAGCACCCCACATTTCGGAGACCTCTTCTCCATGATGGAAAATATCATGCAATGCTCTTTTCGGGTTTGTATTCGACTACGATTCATATAGATATCAATGTGACGATCGAAGCACAGGTTTGAGTTTCAAAGGGAAAGGCTGGCTGTGTGGCGAAAAAATACTAGGTCTAACCAATACTAACATTATTTAAGAAATCTCTGATTTGTCACTCAATATTCAGAAAGTTCTCATTAATTTTACAGCAACAACAACTCACTTCAACAGCTAGGAATGGCTTGAGACGGGGAAGCATGCCAAGTACCCGATTGAAGTGGCGCGCGATGCCTTTGGAAACAAAAGCATCTCCAGACTTCGATTGGCGAAGTGGAAGGGAGAGCAAATCTACGCTGACGTCATTACTGCAATTAAGCCATCGAAAAATGAGAAAAACATCAAGACCATTGGTCAGTTTTACTTCTCTCTCAACGATTGGTCAGTTGTGAAGCCAGCGCTGTCTCTAGTCAGGACAGCGTAAAAATGTCGATGACTAAGTTACAATCCTTAAAATCCAGGAAAATAAAAGACACTCTGATGTCCAAGCTGATACTAACACATTCTGGCTGTAAATATGGCTTAAGAACTATTTTGAATTAAGGAAATAGTTTTGTGAGCTTGAAGTCTACTTGGCTGCTGGTAGTGGTCAGATTCAAATGCAACGATAAAAAGGTTTTGACACATGCTAATCATGTAAAAATGTCACAAGCGCAACCTCAGCTGCATTGCTGCATGGCGTACAGCCACCAAAAATGGTCTCTTTTTCCATCCTTTGGTAAATTGAATGTAAACCATGTACAATTTTTGAGCACAAAAGTACAAGGAAGGCGATATAATTTGAAAACTAATGAAATACACACAACATTTCAACGCCAGCATAATCTGCCACGCGATACCAAGTTGGCTAAAAGCGACGTTTTCGAATCAAGGTTATGTAGATGGGAGTCAAGGTAACGTAGTATTTCGGAGGTTGAAAAAGGCATTAAACAATCCATCCCAAAAAGTACATCCTCAATCTGTACCACGCTAAGTTTTTGCATAACTCAATATGACTAGCAGTTAAAAAGCAATTATGAAGTTGAGGGACTCGTCAACATAACCAAAGCATTCCAGCGTTTAATTTGCCCTAGAAAGAAGTCTTTTAATGAGTCATGTGCCAGGCAGAGTCAATAAACAGGCGTTCTACACACTGAGATAGCGTCAGACACGGTTGGACTGACCACTGCCTTTGAAAGGTTTTCAGCGCCTAAGCATCTTGCCGTGGATGAGCAAGCTTGTTATTACTGCACTATGCTTAAAGTATTCTGTAGATAGCCATGAATTTGTTGTACTCATTGGCATCGTTGCATCCACACGCTATCACTTTCCTGATTATACTAAACTGGAACAAGTTCGCTGCCTATTAATAATAACTGTTACGACTTAATGTCTGTCTCCTTCTCTTAAGGGAAAAAAAATAGGAAGCGTCACTGAAATAGGAACAAGTAAAAGTTAAAAAGAACTAACAGAACTGCATCGAAGAGTAGATGACGGAGAAGATTGAGAAAGTGCGAAAGCATTTCTGCTCTCTCTTGTGGCAGACCAATGATCGCATCCACTATTTGCTTCACTGTGTTTTCGCTAGCGAATAAGAGTAAAAAATGGCAAGATAAGGCTTTGCCACTTCGCAATCCCTGTCCAATAATCCTGTTTTCAGCAGCAATTCACTACAGCACAGGTGAACTAATGCTGCAAACGCTCTGCAGACAGTTTTGAGTAGCTATCTAGTCCACCTATATAACTAATTAATCTCCTCGACCGAAGTCGCCTACCAGGAGGGCTGTAGCTTAAATCAGTGACCAACACCGTGTTTGACATCCTTTATCTAAAAATGAATGAGATACCCCCTTACACTGGCGAATTCCAAACATATTGCTTACGTTTATTCAAAACATGGATGTGACCGATCAATGTAGCCTCATTCATTTAAAAATAAGTGGTGTATGTAGGGAAGAAGATCACTGAAAAGTTAAAAACCTAGCTTGTGAAAAGTTTAACCAGTGACGGCATTCATGTAACCATACAATATAGATAAAACTAGCGCATCGTGAAACCCCAATTAAGCCGTTTATTAATCCATTTCTTCAATAGTAGAATATCAGTCACAGACCCAGAATTGTGAATGACACTTGACTAGTGCTAAGCCATATTCAATTCTCTTTTCAACTTAAGTTATGTAACACTACTCGCGTGGCGATTTGACAATGAATCACACACATACACATGTGCATATACATACGAAGAGGATAACGCACTTGCATTCAAGCGCAATGTCACAGCTGGCTATCTATTTAGAAGAATAGTAGTCACCCACCTTTCAAAACGTGAAAGAAGAAAATTTACATCCAACGATTCCTTGTACTTCAGTGAGCGCAGCTGGTAAATGAGTTGACGGAGGAAAAGGCCTGCAAGTATGCGGTTTTTCACATCGAAACCACCGTCCGCTTCTTCTTGCAAAAAGCACTTTAGCAGCCGATGTACAATACACTGGCGGTCTAGCGCCTGAGCCAGAACAATGGTTCCCTCCAATGGTATGGTGGTAAAGAAGGAGAGGAACAGATTACGCACGCATAAAGACTCCAGGTGGTGAAGGAGAATATCAACTAGGTCAGTTTTGGAGGCGAGAAATTGCAAAATTGCAGGATGGCTGCAGACATGTACGAATATGCGCGAAACCAATTCCAAGGTGAAAGCGTTAGGAGGATTTTGTACATCCTGGAAGAAGTTATAAAGGTCTTCAACTGCCTCCTTGCAATCAACAAAGGCGTCAGACACATTAGACACATCATGGAGGAAAAGTACCCCCACAACAGCCGATAATCTTAAAATCAGAGGAAAAAAAATATTTGTAACAATACAAAGAATGAAGGAGCCCTATATTCAGCAAACTCACGGATATTCATCTTCAGAGGACTGAAGCTTTGTAGAATCCCGTCGTATGATCTCGATCATTTGTCTAATCCTTTGAGGGGCACATAATCTGAGGAAGCGTTCTGTACGGATTAAAACTTACTTGGCATGGAGTAAAGGATTCCCATCCGCGTAAGCTTTAATGCTTTCAGGACGCAATAGAATGTCCTCAACACTTACGTCCTTGAGGCAAACAGATATTTAGGGGCGATGAACAAAGCTTACAGGATTTCGGAGAAAATCGTCGAACGGTATGTCATATTCACTTTCATCTACCATTCGAGGTTAACGTGACTAAAATTGATTTCAAAATTGTCACAAGTGCGAAATCAAAGTTTTAATAACGTACCATAGAAATAGCGACAAAAGAAGTTGACAAACCAAGGTTTTTCCCACAGCTGTTTTTATTTTAACCACATAACTGTGCAGACGATTATGTCCTCTTTTACCAAAATAAGACCAGGAGACATGAACAAACAGCAAATTCAGTTGAACCTTACCTCCGTAGCAGAATTAAGCAGTGCTAGTTTAAGTTGACTAATACTCAACGACTTAACACTGGTAAAGAAATATTAATAATGGATAGTGCAACTAGAATGCGACTCTGAAATCGAACTTAAAAAACTTTATTTAGAAAGAGACGTAAAAATACGCTGGTCAAGAATAGGCAGCATCATATTACGTGGCATGTTAACAAAATGTGCATCGCACTAATGAACATACAGGCCCAAAAGGGGAGCCTCGTGAACTAGAAGGCGGTGACTTTGACAAATCGGAACTGGCGATGAATTTCAAGGTTAACTCAAACCTTTTAAATATTTTGCACATTTCTACTTTGATATAACATAAAATTCTAGTAATAGCACGTCAAATGCAAAGCTAAAAATTTTACTGGACTGCATAGCTTTGATTTTACTTCTGCTTCCTCACTTTAACTTATCAGACCCTTCAAGTCTGTAATTCATTTGAATGACATGAGGGTTCTCTAAGTTTTCGAGGATTCTCTCTATCTGTCCATCAGTGCTGCCTCTTTATCACAGTGTCGCTTGTGATTCCTTCCCCAGTGCAGCCAATGGCGTCACTTATACCATGTGTCAATTAGAATTACTCTCAACTGATTAAGTGCGGATGCTCAAGCACATGGATATTGAACCCATATCAGTTCCATCATTAATATAGGATCGGCTTACCTCCGCTTTACCATAGCAATCATCAATCTTACAGCACCAGGAACTGTATCACTGAAAAACTACCAAAGTTCATAATAGTCGAAGTCAGATACCTCCGTACTCTGGACCCTTATATCTTCCTTTTGTTTTTTATTGCCCCTGCTTCAAAATCCCCAGACGCATATCTCAAAAAAATTCAAACTTACTAAGAAGTTTTACAACTAAGCCTCATCATAAGAGAAACCTTTAATTTTCGTCGAAAATCAATGCACGACTCACCCGAGGTGTCAAGTTAACCTAGTAATGGCACAGCGTTGAAATTAAAACGAAGGGAACAGACAGATCTCTGATGATAGGCGTAAGGTTGTTTTGACAAAGTTTAACCTAAACACTATCGGAATGTCAAACAAAGAAGGAATGACCTTGAGTTAGTTCTTGTCCTTGTGCCATGACGGATATTCAGTGGGGTTGAGTTCGTGTTTTGGGTGTCCTAAACCTTCGGGAAGCAAACAGGAGCCTTTCCTCTGTAAATCTTATGGCAATTTTATTCGTGCACTGAAAGGAATGCAAAGGCTAATGTCTGGTAAGTGGTGTTTGACATTAGCAGAGTACTTTTGCAGGACTGCTTTTCATCTACTCTTTTGTCATTGCAGACGGATTTGCTCCAAATGGGTGATGATGCCATGATGATGCGAATGCGGCTCGAGTGCGTCAACTCCAATTTCCACATTCCCAAAGTTGACACGTTGCAATCATAAAACCCGATTAACATATAAATTTCCAGTGCTCAAATACAAGCACTGGATGCCCACCCGAAAGTACATTTGTCTCACACTCCATTTTTTTACGTGGTTGCTTAAAGTCAGTGCAGGCTCCACTCATATCCATTAGTGGGAATTTCATGCAGCACTAAACGTGAGCATAACAGCGTGCCACAACTCTCATTTACTGAGCTGCAACCCTCTTCCTCAATTGCTTCTGCCATTATTTACGATTTGTCTACATTTTCGATCCGTCTTTAAGATATCCACGGTCTCTGCGGTGACCAGAGGAAACGTCAACGACCATAATGCCCAAAAATAAGCCTTCAACCGCGTAAAATACACTCTTTTGGTCGCCACTCATGGTTTGCCTCTCTGCTCATGTGCGATTTCCTGGCTGGTAGAGAACAAATAGGCTTGGTAAGAATATTTCCAGATGCCGGTGGCATACTCATGGCTGTTCTGCTTAGCATAGAAATCGCTCCTCTCTATGCACCGCTTTGAAACTTGACTTTGGAAGCAACATTTCCATATCTGATGATGCTGTTGACCTGGTTGGTTACTTTTTGGAAGTTTTGATGTCCACCATCATCATTGTCAGAAAGTGATGTGAAACCAGGGCAACGGACAGACCTTATGTGACAATTTGATGGAACAGCGATTCTCAACACAGGTACGAGAGATGATTTTGAATATCACTCCATCAATTATTGCAATGAAATTAAATATTAAAATGATTTCTGGAAAGTTGTGGGATGAGGTGACCAAAGATAGCAATACTGACTGTTGATTCCTGGTCAGCACAAAAACATGGACAATAACGTAGAGGTTCAAGCGGCCTTGAACCAACATGGGGTCACCTGTAAATTATAAAAAAATTCTTTTGCAAGTTCGAATCTCCTCTGGTTTAAGGGACGATCAAGGCTTCGAGTCTGCATTTATAGTGCCATGCCAGGACTTCTCTGCTCAGCCTCCTGGAAGATGTCCTCACCCTTTTTCATAGTAGTGGAACACTAAACTAATGGCAGCAGAAAACGAACTTGATCCTGAAGGGCAACTGCCCCGATTTTTTAACACTGAATACCAAACCTATAGACGAAGAGAATGTGGGCGTCTGAAAACGACGTTTGCCTTCTAAAATAATTCCATTTCCATTATAAATGAAGAAGCACTGACCCTGAATCATTGAACGAATTTTAACAAGTAGATGTTTGCGACACCTACACACCAACTTTTACGCACCGTTTCTCATGCAGACCTCTCCTCTTGTAAGAGACTAGGCATTTTTGGTTAGCGAACAAAAAAAGGACGGCGTACATAAGTATGCACATTCTTCAGTAGTAACAATGCTGGTAATACACATTCAAAAATGCATGTAATCAATTATAACATCGGTAGCATTGTTTGAGAGCTGATACAGTAGCCATGCGTGGTCGTTGCCGATTACACCGCATTGTAGAGGAAGTCAAAACATAAATCACACACACTCACGGGGGCATACACAAACACGCACGTACACAATTTCTCATCAGTGTTAGTGAAAATAGGCATTATCATCAGCATCAGCATCAAAACGTCAACAACAACAGTATTGTCAACTAAATCAACGTGTTGTTGAATGTGGCGAAATAGGGTATCTTTGTCGTACAACTGACGTGCCACTTCTTATTCCAACCGTTGGCGATGTGCTTTGATATTCCTGCGGCTGCGGTCTACGACGCCCGCGATCATCGCTTCGATCTTCGTGTAAGGTCAGTGGTACCGACTGTGACAGTGGGGGAGATGCCCGCTGGTTTTCATCAGTATCTTTATTGTGGCTGCTCGAAGGCCTCCGTCTTCCACTTGATCTCCCTTCCTCCTCGTCTGATTTTTTAGAAAACTTATCAATTAGCCATTTAGGGTGTCTCGTCCACTTGATCATAGTTTCCGACGACCGGTAGAGGAATATCAATTTGGCGAACAGTTGCTCCTCCAGGTAAAGCTTCCCATTCTCGCGTACCAGATAAATATCGTGACAGAGATTTAACAACCTATCAACGTGTGGCAACTCCTGCAGCGATATCTGGTAGGAAATGTCACTGTAGATCATGCGTAGCAGGCGACTCGCAAAGAATATGTAGGCCGCGTACATACCAATTATGCCGTAGGAGCTAAAAATCTTCCCCAACAGATTATCCGAGACACGCTCGTTGAAAATGATGATTGAAAAGCTCCGCGATTTCGACCGATAAGTCATGTCTTCCTGGGTTAAGTTGTTAATAGTTCCGTAGCAGGGCGCTCCAGCTAATCCAATCTCCTCAAGTACCCACCATCGTTGTTCTGAGTGACTATCTTTCCCCAACGATGCACTGACATTGACAAAGGTGTATAGCTGCGCCAAATTGCCGGATGCATTTCGAAGATTGTCCTTCTGGGCAAACAAAAAGCGCGGAAACGCCAGTTCTAGTAAAACAGATTTTGAAGTGGCCGCAGCGGAAGAATTGACAAGACTTTCAGCCAGGACTTCATTAAACTCCAACCGTTCTCGCTTCGATAATGGACGATTAAAGTACTGTTCCACGCGCGTCGAACCCGAATCAATGGCACGAGGTGGTCTGAAGGAACGAAACAATAGAACTTAAAAAGCGTAGAAAATGCATAAATAAAAAAAACAGTTACAACGACTCACCGTCTACAAGCTATGTGAAATGTTATGGTCATTTGCGAGTCCTCATCCACTAGCTCGGACATAAGTTTACGGTATAAAGGAGGCGTAATTGTCCAGAGGCGTCCTGAGGTAGTGCCAAAGGTCATGTTGCTCACATCCTCAGTCTTAAAGTTGTCCACGAACCCTGTTGTCCCCTAAATCGCAAAGACAATCACCGTCAATATCCAAGCTCAGGCTAGAACATCATTTTCCCTTCAAAGTCAACGAACCTGATCCAAGGCATTGCATTGGCGAATTTCGGACAAAAAAGAATCGTTCACATGGAGAAGATTATTTTCGCGAGAAGCGAAATAGTACAATGTCTGATCAACGGAAAAGAGAATTAAAACAAAGTGAGGAAGTACATCCTACACCATACACATTAAAGTAAATTTAAAGGCTTATTGTAGTACCACTGGAGCGAAAATTCCCGTTGCCCGCTAGGCGATGGAGCACACTTAAGGATATCGGATAAATTAAGGAGAGATGCAGTTCGGAGCAATTGCAAAACGCTTGAAGATGCAAGACCAAATGTTAAGGTCATTGTGGCACAAATCAGAACCAGAATAATGCATTGCCTGAACCTCGAAGTCCCAGTAATCATCAATTAAAAAGTAACGTGAACAGAAGAGGGTAAGGTAAAAAAGACCCGCCAAAAATAGTCTTGAAATTGAAGATGCCGATGTTAGATAACATTTTAAATAACTTATAGAACATACGGGGAATCCACCAATAGCCAGCGTTTGTGAGCACTCAATGGGCACATTGATGGCGAAGGTAGTGTCGATGAAAGAGGCAACCACAAGAGGTCCCCAGAAGCAAAGAAACGCAAAGAGTAGTATAAGAAGGCCCACAGTGTACTTAACACATATGGAACGCTTTCGACCCAATGGTGTGGGATACTCGATTTCCGAGCGGCGCCAGCACTTCATTACGAACACCTTCGCGTAGATATCCTCCAACTCCATCCAATGGTAGAGGGAGAGAGGGCTGTCCGTCCACATCCAATCCATCACACTACGAACTTCGTACAGGAACGGCATTATCAGGTACCTATATAAGTGGGAGTACAGCAACAGTGTTTTGTATTCAGGTTTGCAACCATCACAGTAAAAATGGACGTCAGCTGTGATTTGGGCTTACGCTTTAAAAAGCACTAGGTTAATGTAGTTGTAGTTTTTAGTCAAAAAGTTTCCGAGAATGTGTCGTGGATATCCACTGCGGATTTGATAGGCAGAAAGACCGAAGTATATACATTTCACCAGGTAGAGAAGAGCCCTCGCTGAGCCAACGTTGAAAGGTCTATTGGAAGATGAGAGAGGGGTCTGAAACTAGTGCTAAAGGAGGAGGAGGAGAAGGAGCATATGGAGCTGAATGATTGGGACTTACGTCATTGTAATTTGGGGCAGGATGAAGAAAAGCCACACGTGGATAAGGATTACGTGAAGAATTTGGAAAATGAATTTGCCTAATACCTGTTTTCTCAAAAACAGTGCTCTGTCAGTCACAATAAACACGGATTGGATTACTATCATCCCAATGAAAGGACCAGGAATCTAAAGAAGAAACATACTTTGGCCATTGATAGACCACAATTGAGAAAAAAAGTTTGTGTAATTTCTTACACGATTAGTTTTAATAAACTCAAAGGCGTTATCTCCCATCCCGGTCTACAAGGGGAAGTAAAGAGCATCAACAAAGCCTGAGCAATAAGGTAAGTAAGCAAGACGTCTCGTAGCGCACTTACACTGGGACCGAATGATTGATACCCAAAAATGATTATCCAAAAGGAGAGAAATTCACATATAAACATGTATACATAGACATCGACCTTCTGGTTGTAACGTGGGTCAGTCATTTTGAGGTAGAAACGACGCATCTTCGTGATGGGATTCAATGACGCCGAAGAAGTACATTGCGAACTTGATGATTTAGAGTAACTACAGATGATAAAAACTTTGATACGGTTTGCAAAACTCCTATAAAATTCTTTGACAAACGGGACTGACCTTGGAACAATCGCTTCCTCTCTAATTTGTTGCTGTTGTCGACCGTCTTTTTTGACCTATGGTGGGGCAGTGTGCAGTGAGTCCGAAGGCCAGAGCGTTGTATTTACAGAAACGTGATTTTAAACTCACATTAGCCTTGTTTGCCTCGCCGGCCTGAATAAGATCTTGCCTAAATTCCGTGTCATCACGCCAGAGACCGTAATTCTTGAGGTAGCTTCGATGCAAGAAGATGAAGAGCAGCTGAATGAGATCCCAAATAGCGTAGCTATCGGTTTTCTCAACGCCAAAGATGAGAGGCAGCCAATGCGTTTTTGCCAGCGTGGCCGACACCTGGTCCGGTGAGTTGAACTCGATGAAGCGGAACTGGAAGATGTACTTGATGATGATGATTAACTAAGACACAGAAGCAGAAGTGGTTCCTAAGATTGAGGCTAATCAAACAGACGTGTGTGGATAATGTCTAAAGGTGCCTTCGTATAAGTGGCGTAAAGAATGGCTGAAATGCCAACATTTAGATATCAGAACTAAGAGTAGACGCTTTGAGACAAAAGATTCGAGTATGGGAGAGCTATTTCAGCAGCCTCAAAAATCGTTGGTTCTCAAATTCTTTTCAAGAGCGCATGTAGAAGTGAATTGGATGCGACCTTACCGTTAAATGAGGAATGCATTCTTACCTGCTAAAAACATCAAGACCAAAAAATATCTTCTCTCTGGATTTTTAAAGCACTTTGGAGTGAAAAATTGCGTTAGCAGGGCTACGCCATAACGGTGCCGTATAGGGATGCTTCGACACTTACTTCTTATCAGTCTCCACCTCTTTCCCTTTAGAAACAAGCCATTTTGACGCGCAATTAAACGAGGTCATTTAAACGTTGGGAACAAATAGAGTATGAAGAAAAGGTAGATGGGTAGCTTTCTAAGTTGATTGGCACATGAGAGGAAAATCGACAAGTCGACATCCAGGCGAAATACATCAATAAACAAGCGGGGAGGTAGGAAAAATGCCTATTGAATGGGAGCATCGAATGACTAGGTAGATGAGTAGACACGTCGAAAAGTGAATTAATGGATTAAAATTTGGGCTGAAGGCTAGGCAGAGAGGCACGATCAGGTAGACTAAAAACAACTAGTTTTTTAGCTAAGCTGTTCTGAAAAAAAAGGCGGGAAGATACGTAAATAAAAAGGCACCTTGAAGTGAATCAGTGGGTAGACAGTTTAATAAATAGTTAATCGAAAAAGAAAGTGGTGAAAAAAAATAAAAAGCGCTAACCTCAGTGTAGGTAATTAGACTAATCCAGAAAGTCTTTGTAGGTCTAGGGACCGAAAGCATGCCCCAGAGGAAGACCATTAAGGGGTAAACCAAGGAGAGCACGTTCGCGGAGCGCATGTGGTTGATGATGAGGATGGTGTAGCAGACCAATTCGGAGTGTACTACCACCAGATTGCCCACTGCGATTAGAAGTAGGAAAAGACTGGGCCGCGAACGCCGAAATTCGCGTTCACGCTGCTCCCAGGTCGATAGAATGCCACCGTCATTACCAACGCTACCACCAGCAGCCACTGGTGCTCTGGCCTCGTCGTCGTACTCTTCTGCATCCCATGTGGGGGATGGGCGAGGCGCGGCTGATTGCAGGCCCTTGGTGGCAGTGGTTGACGTTGTGTCAAGTCGCTGCCTACGCACTGCAGATCCCGAGGAAGCGGTGTAGAAGGAAGGATCCAAAATTGATGTTCGCGAAGGACTGGTGCTACTCGAAATTACATCAAATACGACGGATTCTAACGTAACCCTGTGTAGTGGAAGGAGAGATAAAGGATAAGTGGGAAATGAAGACAAAGTTCGACTAGTGTCACCCAGAACCACAATAACGAACAGAAATAAACAAAAACGACTTAACGGAATGAAAAACATTTTAAAGAAAACGTAGAAGCACAGGAACATTGGGATTCAAACCGAGTTCTATCGTAGAAGTGGTCGGAAAGCGAGTTGATGCTTCCGCGAGGAGGAGAAAGAGGTAGAATTGAGCTGTTATTATCTTCATAGCGACCCACTTGCATGGGCGCTGTTGGAGGTGGTGATGTTTTCGCAATTCTCGAAAGCGAGATACGAACAAAAAGGCGGCGCCAACGGCTCAAACGCCTGGCTCGCTCCGTGGCTTCGATTAGGCACGCTACTCTAAACGCCCGATGTAGATGAAGGGTGAGATGTGATTGCAATACTGATGAATGAGGAAGAATTGGTGGTGAGTATGGACTATGTTGTTCGTTCTCAATTGAGTATTAATGGCGTGCATTCAGGCACATTACTTGTGTAAACAGAAGACCTGCCCAGCCACACACAGTTGCACCCAAATCACACAATTTGAGAACCCACGTGGAATACAAGTTATTGACGCTAGTCAGGTACTAACAATGCACAAAAATTTGAAACCAAAACACTACTGAACCCATTTCAATGTCGAATTGGTCACGTGCGTAATAGGCACGCGTTGGTTCAGCGACGAGCGGCATGCGAATCGTACGTAACTGATTCTACTTCAGCTTTGTGCTAATTGAAGCTATTACATACAGCTGGAGTTTGGTGACAGAACTATTTTCATTAAGGGAACAACAATAGTGCTTGCAATGTGCTACTTTAATGTCGCTGGTGTTAAACAATCACCGTGAAAAATTCAGCAATTCAAGGTTTCACTAGACATAAGGTAATTTGTAAAATCAGTGAAATAAAGGCAATGGAATGTTAGTCAGCTCAGAGGACGAGACGCAGTGAGTTATGGTGCCAGGAAGTTCGGAGTTATGTCCTGGTAGACGAACAAGGGAAGCAAGGACGGGATATTGCTTGTAAGGGTAACCAACCTTGCATCAATGGAGCTGCGGTTGAAGATGTAGAGAGCCTTTTGCTTAACTTTCCGCTTCTCCACATCAATGGTGCGTCGAATGCGTCGATGTTCTCGAGTAATGGAGTTGAGCATTCGTGTGGTCGTCTCGATGGTGGAGAGGAAGAAGATGTGCAGCACCAGACACCCCGCCTTGAAGCGGCTCCAACAACTCTCCGACTTTTCTTTAACGTCGTCCTCCGATACGTGACTGACTGTAATTGCAGATTACATTAACTTAGGTGTCATAGCAAGCTAAATAAGTCCTGCCATCCACCACTTATCACAGCAACAACATGGAATTTCGATTTACGATCATATTCAATTATTACGAACAACGACTTCATCTTAGCTAGTAGCACACTCTGCACCACCATTTTTGAGGTTTCTTATTGCTTTCGAAATCTATGCACTACGAAGAGCCTTACCCACTAATTCGACGATGTCAAGGTAACAGATCGAAACGCCCAATTTCACCACTAGAAATTACCAATTATATTGACTTCCAATACTGAGCTGGAAAAGCTCTTGACAAATTATCCAGATGAAGTGAAGCGTCCCCTCCCATACCACTAGTAACAACAACGCTGATGCTGACAATACAGGACAAAGTCATGAGGCTTGGAATAATAATAAGTTTTTAGAAAAAAATTATCAGGTCAGCAAAAATAAGAGCTTACAATTAGAAATTGAGTCGTCTGAGGGAATTCTGCCACCTTCAGGTGCGGCAACCACTGAAGATCCGCCTTCTTGTGGCGCAAAAGGCGCAAAGTCTGCCTGATTAAGAACATCTCGATCGGCGTAACCCTCTTCTGTCTGAAAACACAAATTGCGGAGCTATAACAGCGCCTGCAAAATAGCGCAAGCGGAAGTGATGTCCACACGTTCTGGTTATTTTTAGAATTGTGCTGAGCCGGGTGAATATGCATCGTTTAAAGTTGACGTTTGAACATGGTAAAAGTAAGGTGGTTTCCACAAACCGCCACATGGATAAAGGGGAAGGATACTTCTATGGGAATATGGGGTGGCAAAAGCGTAGAACGGAAAGATAGTTTGAAATAAGTAAGGACATGCCATCCAATCAGCAAATGAATGTAGGTAGAATGTACATCTCACTCACAAAGTGCGAGACGGGGACAACTTGGCAGTCTTCAATGCGGCCATGTGGAGCGCGCTTGATTACTATCGCCTACGTGAACTTTGGTAGTTGACTGAGGTGCGGATGATTTATTTAATTCCTCAGGAGGAGTAGCATCGAAAGCTGTTCTTTAAACTACCACAAAGATTTGAAGGTCTTCCCCAATAGTAACCTGATACACTCAAGAACATATATTCAACTTTTGCCGTTTCGGCAACACAAAACATGAGTGTTCCCACACACTGCTTTAATGAATCGACCGCTAAAAGTACAGTTGAACTGTTTCATGATGATGGTGAGAGGTGATTTAGCAATAAACACTGGACCATTTGCACTCAAAAGATATCTGTAATAAATAGCCAGAGAAAATAATTATCAAGGCCTTTCTACCCACCTTCGAAAACGCCAGCGGATCCTCTTCAAACGCTACTCCATTGGCCTCTATAGTATTCTGTTTTGAGAGTGGTGGTCGGACGAAACCAACTGATTTTCGCGCTATCACGGTACCCATCCTTCCTGACTGTAAGCCGGACCCGATACCACCTTCTCCTTCCATTTCGGCACCAGAGGGGACTGCGGCTGTACTTGGGTCAGCTACGGTGCTGCGCTGATGAAATGCAGTCATGTTCCGACGACGATATTGACGAGCGGCTGAGCGCATACCATGTTCCATAGCCTGGTTAAGCAGTTGTAGCGGGTTCATATGCGTCTGCATGGCATAGTCGTCATCGTCGTCGTCATCATCGTCATTTATATCCATTCTCGTACCTTCATCATCCTCCTCACCATCGTTGTCAGCAACAGTACCAGGATCCGGGGATGGGGAGACCGCAAAGGTTACTGAGGGCCGAATTGAAGAACGCGAAATAGGGCCGATCTTTACCGACAAATGCTTCTGCAAAGGAAATTGGCTAATGCTTTCTGATGGATTATTAACTTCTATTATGGCCAAAACTAATGAATTTTAGGAGGGGCTTAACACTACTCCTTTGCCCCGATTCTATCAAGAGTGAGGAAATGCTTTAAAATGGCATTTTTTTTCCTTCATCCACCCTAATGACCTTCCTGCAGACGTTGAACTAAAAGACCTCCCTTCAGCTTATCCCTTTGCTCATTCTGGAGCGAATCCCGAGTTAGAAGCCCCACGAAACCAATAAAATGATATTTCAGAATTGATGAAAAGCATCAGTTACACCAACAAGCCTTAAAGAGTAAGGAGACAATAACTACAACATTCCCAACGTTTATTGGCTACGATGGATTCCAAGCATTCCAACACGTCTTGCAAATTTTTAAGCTGATAGAGTCGAAAATGACAATTCTTGAGCAATGGGGTTGAGAAAAGCTCAAGTATAGCCCTACGCCTCATGCTATGGGGAGGGAAAAAGTGAGGCTGTCAAAGTGTCCGCCGAATCATGCGGTTCGCCTCCAACACCAAATTTGAAGGGACACCATTCAGACAGACCATTCAGCAAAGAAGGGGACAGATTTTGCCTCTAGCCAATTACTGAATTAGCTCAATACAACGGGAAACGAATACTTTTGTAACAAAAAGTATCTGCGGGCAAATGCCTAACACACCTCACCTGATTAAAGAATGGCCAACACAAGCACTCAGCCTTTTCATTCACAACACAAACAAGTGATACCACAAGCCCATTAACTCCAGCACCGCAAAAAAATTGGCTGCAGAGAGCAGTCTGAATCCCACTGAAAACACCGAAACCGAACCCAAAAAAATTATGTTGAAAAATTATACAGGAAGCTTCTACCTCGATTCTATTGAGCTTGTAAAGAATAACAACCTCGATTCACATCCACCAGGCTCATTTAATAAACAATGCAAGGTAAGGTTCAAAATAAAGCAAAGAGACAGGTAAGGATGTCCTACTGAAAAGTCAACAAGACAGTGAGAGGTGTGATAGAATGGGAAGTGTGCTAGCTTTTCAACCTATTAATTAATGCTTTCTTGAAGTTCCGCCGGTCAAAATAAAGATATTATTTTTGATAGTGTTGAAAAGCTGTCTCTCCTTTCTGATTAAAGAGTAATCGAATAAAACGATCCATATGATTGAGATAACTTCAACGTGAAAGGCGGATAAGACAATTATAAAACTGATGAGAGCGGGGGAAAGACCAAGGGAAATCGTTGCTTTCGATAAGCCTGACCTCAAGGGATAGCGATGTTTCCGTTGACTAGTACAGACTTGGGGCAAAATAGTGAAAATAGGTTTGGTGAGGATGCCCACAATCGCAGAGAATATATAGGTTCCGATTTTCTAAGGAATTTCATTTCGGGATGATTTGAAACTTCTCGTTCATTTCTCCTGATTATCAAACAGAAAGTACTACCAGAGGATAACAACAACTCCAGAGAAGCGTTCCGATTCGAAGCAAACGAATAGAAGTGGAAAATTAGTTGCTAATATATAAGTACAAGCGAGCTCACCAACACTTGGTTCCACACTCATAGACGGTCATAAATGGTAGCTAACAAGACACTGTTAAACGTTGAAGTTAGGCCTCTAGGCTACATCAGTTAGCAAATTCAGTCCAGAACAGATAAACATGAGCTGTTCATGCAAACACTGAAATTAAGATAAGCCAATGTATTAAAGTAAATGCTAACGAAGTCAAGAGATAAGAGCGTCAAAATGAAGACAGTTTACCGATCACTTGGATCTAAGCTCATCCATGGAAAAAATAAATGCAGAAAACGAAATGCAGTCATAAGCCGATAAGGGAAACAGCAATTACTCTCAGATGGAACCGGAGTTATTTGAAGCTCAATACAAAAGAAATCCGACTTGTGTTCAGTGAGAGGTAGATTCACAATCCAATCATCTTATCCAATCTTAAACACAACCTCGGAACTGCAGCAAAATAAAAAGTTGTGCATTAATACTTGGCATTAAATGCGACTGTACTTTCAATAAAACTATCAATACTTTGGTGGGATAAGATTCTGTACCTATCATCCGATTATCCTCTAATCGCTATATACACTAGGAGAAAAACAGTTTTCAGCTTCAAATTCCCTGCCATAACTTTGGACATGTTCGCATTGCTAAGAGGCAGCAGGATTAAAACCGCCTCTCAACATGAAACAAAAGCTCGACTTAACAAATTGAATGCCATGCTGAAGATTCCTGGATGGAGATACGTGTTGTAAATACTCGAGTTTCCTAACAGCCAATGAGTCGTGTCGAATGTCTAAAAGTATTGAAGTATCGAATTGGATTAAGCAATGGGCAACAAAGAGAATTAAACCAATGGAAGCCGTTCATAAAAGTCATGAGTGATAATATACTGGGACAAACCAAGATAGATGGAATAAGCAGAGTTATTGTAGTAACAAAAGGGGAGAAAACTGAGCTGAAGAATACAGTAGGCCGTAATGTATTTTGTAAATGAATGCAATGCAGACGAATAAGGCAACGCTACTAACAGAGTGAAGGCTGAGATGACTTTCGTACCCACCTGATTAGCAGAAGACTAACTATAAGGCGAGAAATGAACTTGGGAAAGCCTAGATAGAAATGACTGAAAGGTGATAGCAGCAAGAGTTCACGAGAGAGTGGAGACAACAGGTAAACCAATATGAAATCGGACACAACTACTTCAGACAAATTAGAAGGTACCGGTGTAACACTTTCGATTTCAGGTAAAGACCGCTGATCCGCCCGCCCGGAATCTGTCACCTCTGCTGTTAATGACGGTGATGTGCCATCGGTGTCATGTCTTTCGATTTCACCAACTGAAGCGATGCGTCGATGACCCTTCGGTGACAATGACGCTGCTGTAATATTCATTTCCGCCGCCACTCTCAAAAAAGGCGGTTTCAAAGCAGCAGCAAGAGGCAATGATTGCATTTCAATCCCAGCCGCCTGTTCCGCCCGTCGTGCTCGCCGCTTTGCAGTACGAAAAGCCTCCGGGTAGGAGGAAAGCCTTCGGTGGGTGCGAAAAGCGGGTAGACTGGGGGTGGCAGCGGCAGAAGACGATGAAGAAGAGGTAGACGAGCCACCACCAGTCGAAGCACGTGTAAGTCGACGATGCAACACCCCAGAACCACCCTGTTCCAAGGGAACTCGACGCCTCGCCATGGAGGAGACATGGAACGGGTTTCGAGAGGCAGGACGGCGTGGACTACAGAGGGAGGAAATGAACTTTAAGGGGAACTTTGGAATTATGATAAACGCCTTTGCGAATTGTTACACTAACTGAGCCGGCGCGGGACTGTAAGGGCAGGTGTAGTTGGAAAGTGCATCTAACGGAGCGCTGTCGATGCTAGGCCACACCGCTCGAAGATGGTGACGCTGCACGCTTTCTGGTGAATGCTGCTGGATTCCTGAGACCTGTTGCATTGCAGGCAACGGTAAGATGGTTTCACTGACGGATGAGGGTGTTGTCGCTGGCGTCGTTGCAGTGGTAGTTGTTTCGTACTCGCCCTCTTCATCTTCGGGATCACCATCAAAGTGGTAATAGTCACCCGAGCGAATGACTACAGAAAAAATTACAAATAAAGATTAATTTTGGGACTTTCGACTTGCTCTCTTGCTATCATTTACCTTCAAAGCAAGTGTTTAGGCTTTAAGTTTGTCTTGGTAACTTTCTACGTCGATTTAACAGCAGGAGATGTATTTTCCAATCTTTCAATCGCTAAACCAACTTTTTAATCGCGAACACAATGACGCAACCTGGTACTCCACAATGTTCACTAAACCGATATTAGAGAGCGAATAAAAGTGAAAGGGAAGACTAACTTACGTATGTAGTGTTCATTAATATTGGCCGTATTTTTACCAGCCTCCTTCTGGCGCTGGGCAATTTTGTCCAATTTACGTTGAACTCGTTCCAAATCGTGTTTTTCGCGCATATTCTGTTCGCTGATTACTTGCATCAACTTGCGATTGATAAGGAAAGCTCCTCTGCAAAAAAGAACAGAGGCGTGGAAGATATGTGAGAGGGGGATGGAGAGGGGTTACATATAAAAAGTGCCATAGCATTTTGCGATCCAACTATTATAACACACGAGCGTCGAGTAAAAAACTGATCCCCATGCTCCACTACACTGCCGACAAAAACACACCGCATAACGTTTTTACACCTATCCCAAAGCAATTGTTCCGTCTTTGTCAGCTACGTGCAACAGCAAAACTTTGCAGAATGAAAACGTTGATCGACTGAGTATGGATGACATCACATTCATTAAATCCCGTATTCTACACTGTAGCTAGCTGTGAAAAGAGACAATTTTTGGATATAGTAAAAGATTATTTGCAAAATAGTTCAGAGGTTCGGAAACCATCCCCAACGTTGCATCATACTAAACCAATCGAACAAAAGAACAATAAGAAATGGAGTAGCTATGAGATATTTCCCAGCCTTTGCGAATGCATCTCTAGTCCACATGGCGGTTGTCTTGAACACATTCTCGTGCAGCGGAGGGTTGCAATGCAGCCTAAGAGGTTGGTAAACACGGATTGTCCAATTAAACGTGTCACTTCAAATCAAAATGTGAAGACATCAAAGCGGGATTAATAATTTGAAGGACCACAAATAAAACTAAAAAAACCACACAAAAGGTCTATGACTGAAAAAAGGCATATCAAATTCAACGTAGAATCAAGTAACAAGTTACCTCATCACTGAAATATGCATTTCTTTAACAGGCGAGCAACCATACACTACCATTTCAAAACCCACCTGGAAGCAAAACAACTTTGAACGTTGAGGTCAAAGACAACGTGACGGAAGGAGGAGGTAGTGAAGATCTTGCGCTGAAAAATGATCACCGCAAAACACACGACATCCCAGTGCAGTCCGTTGGAGACAATCTCACATCCAATATCCGTGGCTAGGTGGAAAATAAGCCATTTTTAAGCATAGAGGCATCCATCTTGCACCTATTATTTCGGCTTCCAGATCCAATTCTTTTAAATTTTGCATGAGTAACAGAAAGCCACTAAAATTAAAGTAGATTTTTAAAATCCGTTTCAGCTATTCGGAATGGGACGATGTGATGCCCCTTAATCGAACGCTTTTCGAGAGATTGCAAGTAGCAAACTAGAGGCATTCAATGTGGATAAAAAGTTTCTTACTACTTTAACGACCTGATCAAAAAGCAATATTCAACAACAGCGTCTACCACTTCGATACCGGCTTTCAAGGCCAAAAGAAACAAGAACAAAAGGCTCCAATTTTCCTTAGACTTTTCAAATCAGTGGGACCGTGGAAGTGACGCAACGAATAACGGGTTTACACTTGTATCGCCGTTTTATTACCCTAGCAATCTGAGCGAATTGATTGCAATTACGTCGAATTTAACGACAAGTCTTGGCGACGTGTAACAGCAATGAAAAGGGATTCAATCCTACCCCGATTTTTCCTCTTAGTAAATTCCAAGTTTGACGATAGTAACAAAGTGCACTCCGTCTTCCTTATTCTACATCTGCAACTTAGTCAAAAATGACTCCAAACTGACCCAACCAATGGGAAAACACCATTGAAGCGTAAAGTGCCGAGAGGGTATCCGCTTAATTGTGAGTGCAGTTAAATACACTTGTAATAGCTAAGACAGCTAAGCGTGTATGATTTGCGGAGGAAGTCAAAACAAAAAGGAACTTAAGGCATTGAGTTCGCTCGGAAAGCATCAAGACACGAAAGGACGCTGACCACGAACACTACTAAGAGTACTGGCTTTGTAAACTGTGATTTACTAGCATGAAAAACAGGATTAAACAATAGACAGCTTCATAGTGAAGAAAATGAGAGCTACTAGCAAGTGATAACCAATAAGAACTGAGTGTAAGCCATTTTAGAAGGCATGGATTTTCGAGCTTTCAGAGGTTGTCATTTTACGTCCAACTATCGAACACACCAGAGCGCCCCAAAACTCCCTTTTAATTCTTCCGACGTTAACATTCAAAGATTAAGACTGACCGAAATGCCTTAAAAGTGTAAGAATAAAGCCACTCAGTGTGCACCCAACGCGCTCAGCTAGGCTACACGAACACACGCTGTTCCCCAACTTACCGATAAAGCTACCCAGGCTGGAGTCTTGGTCCCAATATTCAAGCAAGTCCCGTGTTTATACAACAGTTTAGGCTTATAAAGGCAACCTCGACTACTCTACCACGTTCACTGTTGCTACTAAGACAATCATCAACAAAAAATTAAATCCTTACTTCCTTACATATAGTGATTTTGAGAAAGTATTTCAAACCCTTAATGGTTACTAAGGGGGCAAAATAGTGCCTTTGAAGCAAAAAACTCATCAGTAGTTAGTAAGCCTTGAAACAGAAGAAGCGGTTTCCAACTCTATCGTATCAAGTGATAGCTAACATCTAGGTGGGAACAGAATGAATAGTTATTTTTTGATTAAAGAACTTAAAGCCACGTAGCATATGCAGCGAGCAGCCGGCACTACGATATTCAAGGGTTGCAAAATAACACCTAAACGTTGCCCATTTAAATGAGAGTAAATAGGAGTCATCCAATTGAAGTGATTCAGTTGGGCATTTTAATGCGGCTAGCTTTTAGATAAGGAATAAAAGTGTCTAAGTGAATGCGATAAATCCGCGGTTTTAAAGAAAACCACTTTTTATAAATATAAGATTGATGTCGAATGAGACAGTGATTCAACGGTAGTTGCTGTGGCTAGCTAGTGCCAACGGTAGGCATCAATTCTCGTTCCAAGCAGTGAGAGCGTGATACTGGCACCAGTCGACATGAAAATTATTTCATCGTACAATGTGGCAATAGTGAATTTAAGACTGTGTTGACAGAAGTTGGTGAATTACATGCGTCTGGTCGGCAAAAGTGAAAAATCAGATCAGTGTATTAGTGGAACGGGTGACTTACAGTATCCGGCGTAGTCATTCCATCCAACTGGATTCATGCAAGTGACGCCGAAGAGCTGGATAAGCCAGCAGATACGATGGCCGACGAGACGATTCCAGTAAACACAACCCATAAGTTGAAGAGTACACTTCGCTAGGATCACACAGAAGTTGTATCCCACAATTACATTCCATCTAACAGGGATGCGACAAATAAAGAATTAGGCAAAGAAAAGCTTCTAAAGGACGGAAATGCATGTGATGAATTTGATACACAGCTATCACATAATGCCAGCTTGCAGGCCTCTATTAACTTCACTCAACTCCATGCTTCACTAGGGATTTAGTATTGCCTATCCACCTGGTAAGAGAAGAGGGGGACAATTCAACATTGGCAGCGTTTTCCCGTGAGTCGACATTAGATTACAGGCATCGAGGCAGAACGAGATGCAACAGATTAGCAAACTTAAGAAGTAAGGACAAGTACAAAATGATTTGTAGAAACGTTTGATTCGTAAATATCTCCACTGGAGGATAACCCATACGTCATTCAAGAAAGGAAGCACACTGTTAAGGAAAAAAATAGCATAATGATGTTGTTCATCAGTCATAATCAGTTCATTTGACGACATTTTGCCGAGTCTTTGAAACAAGTCCAAAAAAGTTTTGACGGTGACAGCGCACAGACACCACATTGAAGGAAGAAGCTGGATGATCAGTGGCTAGTTCTCAAATTTACAAGATGTCTATCAAAGCGAGGAGTAGAAAAAACTTGTAAGCACCACAAAAAGATTGTAGAGGCGAAACGGCATCGGCAATGTAAATGTAAACGCAAAAAAAGTTACCAAATGTATCAAAACAAAAATGAAGGTTTTTTTGTATAAAAAGTTGATTGGTGAGTACGACGTGGATAAACAAAGGGCTTCCAGCATATTCTAAGCGCAAGGCAAGATTCGCTGTACACCTCACCCCTATAAAATGTCCTCTCCCTAGCATTACAGTTCCATCCTCCCACTCTGCCCGAGACAACGTGACTAGCTGATGTCGAGGTAATGCCGACATAAAATAGATGAATAAGAAATGAATGAGTCAATGCAATAAAGTAGAATACCATTGTCCTCACATTTTCCTATCCTAAGAGGGTGTAGGTGAACGAAAGAATAAGTTTCGCAGCATAGGAAGGGAGACTTGCAAGCAAACCTCTTTACCCCACTTCACTAGTTCAAGCAGACGTTTTTCATGTAAATCTCAAGATTTTTTCGTATCGGATGAGTGAGCTTTAGCTGTGGTTGCGATTTTGCCTTCGGCAAGAAGCAATGCGAACACAGAAGGTACGATAGTCGCCGGAGGGATGGAATGAACTTGTGTAGTGAAAACAGAGGGGCATTCAGCAATACTTAACCATGAATAAAATTCACAAACAAAACCATTTATCAACGAAATCTATCCATCAGACAGTAAACAATTTAGCACACCTGGTTTCTTTACGTGTTTTTGCTGAATGGAAGGAGAGAAGACATGTCACACTCGGCACGCTAATTGTCATCCGTTGTTGATGCACTGCGCGAAAAACTAATTTGTTCGGACGTTTTCATCACAACCCTACCAGATGTAACAGACTACGGCAAATTATTTTAACACCTCATACCAAACAGTACTGCGAAACATGCATGCCTTTTTTACGGAGAAAAACGAAGGCGATTTCTTTTCATTGCGTAAGACCAACAAGCTCGTAGCCTACCCATCATGCCCATTTAGTCGAAATAAAAGCCCAAAATGAGAAGTGCCATACTGATTTGTTGACCCAATCCAATGTGGAGAATGATGAGAAGTAATGCAGGGGCAAGCAAGAGGCTCCAATTTAGGCGAAAAACGTAAATGCATTTTAAATATTGAAAGTACAAATTGTGAGTATGAGAATCAGTCCCATTGGTTTGATTTCAACAGGAGACTTCTATGCTAAAGTTAACTTGGACCTCAATCAGATCCGGGAGAATGAATGAACACACTTAGGAAACAAACCAAGTTGTTAGAACACAACAGAAGAACTCCAAATGCAAACAATGGGAAAAGTAAAAAATGGTAAGGAATGCAAACCATTTCTATAGAAATTTAATGGCTAAAAAGCGCTCCAATGGGTCAATGTTCAAGTCAATAAACCACCATGGAAAGAGGACACTCCTGGACGTGCAGCAATCTGCATGACACATCAATGACTTTGCAGTCTGATGTCAATGTGATTGGCTCGCCAAGTACGAATAATATCGTGGAAGTAGGCGAAGTAGTCAGGATAGGCATCCAGAACTGTGCTTACAAAAGAAGGAAAAGGAGGGGAAGTGAAGGGGCGCGTTGGATACGAACAAAGGCAGTGCCGTGGTTGCTGATCTTATTGCCACGTCTCATTCTTCCTCTGCACAACTCAAACAAAGTCTCAAGGTGGATATTTCATAAAACGCAAAAAAAGCTTCGATGCTACAACATCATACCCCAAACACTATAAGGCGTCTCTAGTTAATGAAGTGGAGAAACAAGAAGACTACCGCCAATTTACGAGATGGCACTCCATTTCGACAAGAAGTGTAAACAAGTGACGCAATAGATCTTACGAAAAGGGGATCAGTATTGGTAAAAAGTGCATTGACTCAAAATAATTGGGAACTGAAGAGCAAGAAGGTCTACGCGCAGTTTGTCGAATAATTTCTCGACATCAAATTTAACAGCCGACTTGACATTAGGACACGTTCACATAGGAAAGGATAAATGAAAAAAGACCACCAGTGAATGGATCAATTAAGTGATGCTGAACGCTCTCGCAGCATAGAAATAAGCGAAATGCACTTTGACCAAGGGAAATTCCCAGTGAAGCCTACAAGAAACTTATTTTCTTGTTTTTCCAGTGTGCAATGTTCGTTTCGGTACTTCGAAGGGCAGATACGAAGTTTAATATACAATAAACACGAAAAACCAGTTGCAAAGTGACACATTAAAACATTATTGTTTGAAAAATTATAGTCTTTTCTTAAATAAAGTCAACGAACAGAACGGGACGTAAAGGGGGTATTCTATCCCACAACATCACATGCTTTGACGGGATGAATGCGAGTTATTGCTTTGGACAATGATATTTTCAAAGGCATACAAAGATGAGTGGAGGGGAAGGGAAAATTTGAAGATTAGATCACTTTGTTTCCTAATCATAAATCATCTAGGTAGCTTTATCGACCTCACCGAATAGGTTCATACCAAAGTCTATTCGTAACAATTTTAGAAGCGAGCTCTTGCGTCCTCAAAAAGAGAACCACCCTTTCAAGGACTGCAGCCTTGAAGTCAAAGCAAACTCAAAGGACATTCTTCGAGTTTGTTTAGGGAGATTTGTGTATGGGGTTGCAAAAGTATAGGAAAGTAGCTGACCGAACAACCCTCTGTGTAACAAACGTTCTGTAGGCATCTGACATCAGTCAATGGGATATTGAATCCGCATAAATCAATCACAAGATGGTCAAGTTGATAAATAAATACCAATACAAAGAAGTATCAGCATCGTTGTGAGAAAGGAGGATAAAATTGATTATATGGATTAGAAAATTCGCAGCTACTGCCATCCAAATGGAGAACACCACTTAACACCAACCTAAGCATGCGGTGCGTTTTAAAATGAGGGTGAAAACTTGCTCACAATGCAGTTTGTGGTGAACGTTTGGACAAGGGACATTAGAAAGTGAAAAAAAAAACATTTCGAACAAACTCACGAAGCAAGAAGATTGGAACGCCTTCGCATCATAACATTCTGGCCCATCCAGAGGTAGATGAAACTGAGGATCATGTAGCCTAGACAAAAGAGCGTAATCCAACTGACCCCCGTGGCGAAGACAATAGCCAAACTGAGCCAATAGGACCAGTAGAAAACTGCATGACGCAAGTAGTCCAGGTAGGACCTGAAAAAAAATGCAAGAAATTTCGTGATTTCAACATAAAATGAGATCGTAGCAACCGAGTCATCAATATCGGCAATCTGCCTAAATTCACACAGTTCAGACAATAGCAGTTGTCAAAGGATGAAGTGATTTCGAAAAGTTGTTAATAAAAAGGGGGAAATATTAAAGTATTGGCGAATACTGTTTTAATAATTAACTAGAACTGTACTCATCATTATCCAGCTTCACTGCTCACTTGAAGGTCATTGTATTGACCAATTTAGGGAAGCGGCTAATGGAAAGTCATGAAATGCCTGAAGCGAAAATTGGTCCTAAACAAATCAGGGCGACGACTAGATGGGTGCCCTGATGACTGCCTCTGAACCCGGAAAAATAATGCCGAGACCACATGACTTAACATACACCTTTTTCAGTTTGTTTTAATGCATGCATGCGGCCTAGAGACTTCGACACAAGTTTCAGTTGTTGACTCCCGCCTTGGATCCCAACAAGAGTAATTTTCAAAATCTTTTGTTTCTTTGCTGTAACAATGAAACGCAAGGAGTTCAGATAAGGCTTACTTTCTATTGAAAATCTTTACAATGTTAGTTACAATCAGCTACCTTCGAAACACGATGTATTCCATTTCAGGCACTCTGAGTAGGCCAGTCTACGAACTCAGCAGATAAATGACTTTAAAAAACGTTCAAAGGGAAACAAAGTGGCTCCAAAACAAACATACCACCGATCCAAACGTCCACAACATTTGAAGTTTAAAACGTTAAAGCCCACTAACATTTTCCAAGTATTAAGTGAAGTTTAAAAATGATTATGATATTGAGATACGACCCGTGTAAACTCTACCTGGTTTAAACTGTAATTCAATCGTTAAAAACGTACTCCTTCGTGCTGATAAAATCACGGTCATTCGGACCGGGCAAAGTGTCAGTGAGGACAGGGGTGTTGCTGCCTCCACCATAGCTTTCCCAATCTTGTCTCTGCTCTAATTTGAATACACGCCATTGTGCGGCCACCAGTATGAATTGTAGGAAGTCAACTACAAAAAAACCATAAATGAGAATACGCATAGCATCAATTTGGTGTGGAATAAAAACTTTGGTACTTTTTAAATGTACCGATAAGTTTGCGGGGGTCAGGTTGGTAAGAGGTGGAAGGCAGGAAGAGCCACTGCTGTAGACGGATTGTTTCGTTGTCGCTGGAGTCCCAAGGAAGAGCTGGAGAAGGGCAAAGACAGGTAGTAGTCAAGTTTTCGTCAGGAATTGGTTCAACTGTTCGTTCAGTCGTTACTTCAAACATTCATCAAATCTCCCATTCTAGTGTTGCTCAATTCATCCAATCGTCTTTGCACTCATCCATTCGCACATCATTTCGCTAACTGTTTCGTTAGTTTGTCGCATGTAGTCGCATAAATCACTGCTGTGATCACCTAGAGAACCGATTACCCATCCAAACAACAGACAGACCATTCATTTGTTCAAGTAAAGCACAGAAGAGAAGCACAAACATGCGCACAACGACGATAGGTGGCATGTTAGTGTAATAGAGACAACAAAAATAAGTGATGGATTGGCCTACCAGACTCGAGGATTTTCGGAATATGTGCTGTAGCTATGATGAAGGGAACAAGAAGTATTAGCATCATTATCTTACCTCGCAAATTCCATATACATGTATGGATGCTCAAAATTATCGCCTTTAGGATCGGTTATGTGACTAAGGAGACAAGTTTTAATGTTTCTAATATCTGTAGCAGAGTCAGCATGGATACATCGAGGAACGCCGAAATTGATCTTGTATAAAGCACAAATAACCAACAAACCTCTATTCTGTTGAGCACACGGTTTTGACCACAAGGGTGATCAAATAAGACTGATCGCAGCTTACTAGATAGCAATGCCAGTTGCATAGGCCAAAGTACTGAACGCTGTGAAGGACAAATACGTTCCCACAACACCGCTAGAGGTCGATACATCATTATTATTGAAAGCGAATCAAAATTTCGGCCGAGCAAAACAGCCAGTTTGCCAAAATAGTAGAGAGAACTGAATAATGGTGTGAAGGTGAACACACTGTTTCAGTGCGCTCAACTAATGACAAATTTCATACAATTCTTCACTTATAAGGGTATCTATATCCTACAAGTTAGCTTGATATTCACTTCAAGTTTAAAAAACCAAAGGACTACCTTCACCAACGAATCATGGGGGCTACTGTGAGAATTCTGTGAGGCATCTATTATTAGAGGGCGACAAAGTGAACAAAAGTCCCCTCGGTGATACTGCTCTAACGCCCAGTAATAACATCTCGCATTCTTCCTTTGGCGCGAAGTGATTCCTTTTTGAGAAGTCCCATAGTGCACATACAAGAAGAAGGCAAACAATATCTACCCTTGTTTTTCTTTTACATTTGGTCTGATTTCTCAATACGGAAAACTTCCAGATCAGGGCGAGATGATAGACAGAGTTAATGCCAAAAATAACTGGAATGCAGGATTACTACTAACAACGACATGCCAGGAAATAGAAAACCAGCATAGAACGTCAAATAACCTGCATACCAAGATGGTAAACGCTTGGGTACTCATTATTCAATGTAAACCTGCAACCATCATTGTCACACTGAATGTATTCACGACAGATTTCAATTAAGTGAGGAGCTTGATGACTCGTGATACCTTTTTCTATCTATTCAAAAGCAGGGCATATAGTATCCCCGATCCTGCCAGTGTCCGCTATGACGTACATGACGTAAGTGTGAAAGCAGTTTAAAATTGCTCAAGGAGCAGTAATATTTAGACAATGAATGAGGAGGGAGACAACTTTTATCTCTCCATTTTTTAACAAGAATGGATAGTTTCCTGAGAAGGATTCATTAGTGTCAAGTTGTTTGAGCCAAACGCCACAGCGACTGAACTTAGGAGAAGCCGCTGCAACTATGGGAGGCGAGTCATAAAACAAACAAGACTAAATGAGATCCAGTAAAGGTTCTCTCAGTGAATATCAGATCAATACAGGAAAAAAGTGACAAAGAGAACACAAAAGAAGGCACATTAGAAGGGGCACGCACATTCGTGATGTGTATTAATAATCATTTACAACAAAGTGATCGCTGTAGACTGCACCAAAGAATGTATCAACTCGTTCAATCGTTAAAATGATGAACTGTCTTCCGCATCCCCCTAATTAAAACGTCAAAATATGGGGTTAGTAAATTATATCATACAAGTGACTACAGCAAGGAATCGTTGTTGCTAAAGCACATGCAGGACTTTCGGACACTTAGAGGTCTCAGCACTTCTGGCACCAAAATATAAATGACCTCATCATAAAAAGCCCAAGGATAATTGTAAAAGTCTTCGTAAAGAATCCTCTAAAACGAACTTAAAACAGAGCAAAAAATCCACTTTACTCGGATTCAGAGTTCGCGGAGCAATTTTGGCTGCAACTTCGTACCAAAAACACTGAGTGTAGCCAACAAGATTGAATTAAAGGGCACGTGAGACCTGTGCTAATTTAATGTGAGAAATGAACTTAATTGACGTAAGCGATTAATGTATTAATTTCATCAGCGATACCTGTCTTTTCCATACTACTCAACAGGAAAATTATAGCCATCTCTGAAAGCAAATTATATTGAATCGCCTTCTAAGGAAGCAAGTTCCAATACTCATTAGTGCGACGCATTCAGGAAGGCACTTACTGCCTCCCCACAACGAGTCCTGAAGGCCTATAAACTACAAGCCTCATATTACGAAGTCGCACCAAATTATCGAGTCACTGTTGGAAGTGAATATGTGACGCAAAATTACTCACGAAAAAGTAAGGAAAGGGAAGTCAGCACCTTCGCGTCTGTCATTAGGAATGTAAAAAATGGGACCGCAACTGCAAAATTATAACGATGGGGTGGTTAAAACGCACATTCAACAAGGACGGAGGGGATCTGCGAGCATGCAGCGTATTGAATGACCAGGAGGACACCAAGGAAGGTCATGTAGGCAGGCCATAGTCGGGAACAGATATCGCGACGATGAGTGAAGAGGAAGAGGAGCATGAGGAGAAGGTAGAGTACACTCAGGGCATCTACCCGAATGCAGGCGGCGACTACAGTGACGCAGAAGCATATCTACAAGGCAGAAGTCTTAAGGATATCTAGGTGGCAGATTTCCGCTCTGGTTGATCAGACACCAGACACTACTGGGCAGGTAAGGTAACATCAAACCACTCGAAGCGACTAGTTGCCGAGCAACTCGGTTAACACTTCACAAGATCTTCCACTATTACTTGACCAATGCAGTCATGAGAATTTAATGAAGAGCAACATTCGTAGGTAAGGTAGATGGAGGAGGGACTGTCGATAGTTGAATTAAGAAAAATAGTATCAGTTACCAGTAAAATTATCAAGTACCCTTCCTTTAGAATAGAGATTTTGGCACAGCAAAGGTTGGTATAGAACGACTAGAGGACCACCCTTTAGTAAGCGAAATGCCTAAGTAGGGCTTATGAAACCTGCTGCACCTAATGCTAAGGCTGAGAGTTGTCAATCCAAGATTGAAATGAATGATGAATCGGCTTTTTAATGTGCTAAGTGCTATGAGCAGGTATATGCGTGTGCGTTTGGGAAAACGGATTCATTTTCACTTGTATGTAATGCTGAAGATGGCTTCACCGGATGCGAGGTGCAAGGCGCATTACATTCTCAACCGGGTCCACTCACCACCACGATTAATGAGATAAGCTGGGAAATATTTGTAGCATCCGAAGAAACGTAAATAACAAATCTAAAATCCGCCAATTTTTTGAAGCTAAAAACTACCTCAAGTGTACACTTCTTCTCCGAGTGTTTCATACCATACAAATGATTTGTTGGCAAGGAAATGTGATTAACACTTGGGGAAGTACCATAACGCGCAGAATGAAGCAGCCGTTCTGACCCATTCCGAAGTACAAATCTTCCCACAGATGGAATTTCGTAATATGAGTTTTTGTTATCCTACAGGAAAAAGACCCTCTCACTACTAGCTCACTAGTCGTGCGTGTTCCAATGGAAAAGGTTAACTTTCCGGCGGCTGACAGAAACCCCATAATGTACTATTTCATTTCCATTGAGTCAATGCTAAAGACAAGGACCATGGCTTTCATCGAACAAGGTAGTGCAATTGAACGAACAAGCTTTTAGAAATGGACAATTCCGCATTCCTTCGATAAACAATGCAATACAAGAATCAATCCGCACTCAAAGGGCACATAACACGCTCTAAGGCTCAGTGACACCGCATGGTGATTGGACATTACCAATTGAGTTAAGTATGAGCAAACTGTCCTCTAAACTTTGACCCAGGGATAGTGCAACAATACCTCCAAGTGTTTCTCCACGGTTCTAATTAACAGAGAACTGTTCTCAATGAAGGTTTCCCATATTTAAGTGACATACGACCAAAACCAAGTGTTTTAAATTCACCTCAGAGGAATGCTTCTTGCCACAACTACAACTTGGGAGCTATGCTTGCCTTTCAAAATTTCCTACAATTCGTAGCCACTTAATACACCGAAAACTGGGTGATGCTTTATAATTATCAACTACAAGAAGATAGGAAACAATTATAGTGTAGCTACGGTATTTTTAGGAAAGTAAACTCCTGTCAGAAGATAATAACAAAGCTAAACCGGTGTCTTTGGTAAAAGGCCATATAAAATACAAAAAGTGCAGTTGAACTCAAATTACCACAATAAGAGATGCACCTCTCGGCAGCTACACCATAACTGGGGTTAAAAATCCAGTAAAAGGAGAAAACAATCAGAAGGGAGTCAAGTGTAAACACAAACAAGCACAAATTAACCTAGAGACTTCAAGAGGAGCTAATTCAGATATTCTCAATAAGAAGATACCGCACCATGCGCCCTCCACGACAACTCCTAAATGGGCTAAGATAAGGGCATCAGCCCTCCCCAATTTCCTTGAGACGATCATATTACTTTGCATACTTGCGTGGGTGAGTACGGTGAGGCTAGATTTGAAAGCTGAAAATTGTGTAGAAATAGCCGAAGCATAATCGAAACACATGGTTAGAGGTGGGCATACAGACATTACGCAAATACGATAACCTTCATAAAAATGCATTCAGAGAATGTTAACGCCCCTTAAGTCTATTGAAGGCCTAATGAAAATGAAGATTTGCTTTGAATTCCTTCCTGAGGAGTGAGGATGAATTAACCTTCTTTGGAAGATGAATTCATCTTAATGACAATGTTGAACAACTTTCGGATAGGTGCTCAGCGCAAAAACAGCAACTTGATGTTATCGCATCGCAGTTTGAGCTAGTATACATTCTTCAGCCATTACCGCGGTGGCAAGTCCTCAAATACGTGGGAGCTAGGATCAAATCGGGTTTATTGGCTTTAACAAAATCCACAAGTGAAATGTATTTCCAATGGAATGATACGTGCAAGGTTTGGTCGCAACTTTCTTGCCACTATGCGCAACAATTGGGATCCATATCATTGGGCAATCTAAGCAAAACTAATCAAGATTGCGGCAAGCGGCGGCGAGTGGTGTGTGCAGCCATGTATCTCATCGATGAAGAAGCAAAAAGTTGCAGATAGATACGTAACCCATAGCTCTGGCATTCCAAACGCAGAACACCCGCTTCTGTGCAAGAAATCACACCTCCTGTGCAAACAATGAACACATCATAGGTAAAATAAGGAATTTCAAAGACGGCGCCTAATGCATATCGCAGCTTTTCTATAAGTGAGGAATAAGGATGTGTGAAAAAAACTCAGAGAAACTGCTATCCCTTGGGATGTTTTCGTCGACTGATCATAAGCTTCACCAACCAATTGCAACGAAAGAGGGAGCGCAAGAGAGACTAGATAAACACTTTGTAAATTGATTTATTATTATAAATGGGGAAAAGAGTACGTCTAGAGCATCAGGTCTAGACAAAATGGTACAATAAATTGGGTCCTGCGTAATGTCAGCAGCAGACCATCTCCAAGTTACTCATGTTTACTTTTATAGGCCGGGAAAGAGGACTAAAAAGCTAATGCTAAGTGTTCTTGAGGTGCACTAGCACAAAACAATCCATCACTCAAAATTCATGATTGCATGAGGGCAACAGTCGCAATCAAATTTATTTTGCCACCAAAGTAAGATTCAAAGGCATTTTTAAGCTCAAGATTAACAAATCACCCTCACATGCATTACCCATCGGACGTATTTGAAAAAAGCACCCAGCTTGATTGCGGTTAACTCGCGCTACAGATCAGTGTGCGTCGTAATATTATTGTGTGTGTACAGAATGAATTATGGAGGTGACATCTGTTCACAAGCTCTGAATTTGTAAGGTCATTGCATTCACTACCTGCCGGTACTTTTAATTGATGCGGAGGTAAAGATATTTGCTAAAATCTGATCTTCAGCTACAAACCCAGAGCCAAGTGAAAGAATTCGCTCGACAAAACCATTTAGCACTTGTATCAAGAAATGCAAGATGTGGTGACAAAAGTAGTGTCAACAATTAACCTCAAGCTTCAAATATTATACAATCATTCTGCAACAAGGAGAGGAGGAGGAATCCTAAATAAAAAAGAATTTTTCTACCTTCCAATGACTCATCAAGTTGTTTGTGCTACATGCGCTATGAGAGGCAAAGATGCTCCAATCAATGCTGCAGTGGTCCCCCTGTCGTCCCTGTTACTCAGTTTATGCAATGTAAAACAGGCTATGAAAAAGTAATGGAGAAAATTCAACCTTTTCCATCCCTCCCTTAACATCTATATCAGGGCGCCTAAAGAATGTTAAGAATACCAAGATTGGCCAGTGAGTCGTAGACGGATAGTGAAACAATCATTTGAACCTACATTAAATGACAAAGTGGTGATGCAATGCACGAAGCAAACGAATTTTTTTCTGTTATGATGTTAAATAGCGATGAAAGAAGCTCAAAATGTTTCCATTTTCTCCCCAATTCGTGTAACAAGAAGGTGCCTGCATATTACACTGTTAATTCCTTATCGTGCCACATACGACACATTCCCGCCATTTTAAACCCGAACTGGTTAAACAAGGCCGGTGGAATGCCGATAAGAGGCGTGAAATCAGGATGGTCTATGCAAGTTGGTTATCAAAAAAGTGGTCTTAGAGACAAAGTTGTCTAAAGGTCACCATGTAGTGCCGAGGTGGTTCCTCAGTCCAACACTAATAAAGCATTGTGCGGGCAGCATCAAGCACAAGTGATGAAACATTCAGCTCACATCTACATCAATAGTTATGATAGTGATGAGGACTTTCAAACAACAGCGTCTTACATGCTAAGCATTAACAACAGGTAGGAGAAAATAAACCTGGAAGCCTAACCCCTTGCTCCTCGCTTCACATTAAAACACGCATACGTGAATTGAAATATCGCCCCAAATTAAGACAAGTCAATTAAAATATAGAAGTTTTCATGGAGGATTGAGGTAGTTACCAAAAGGAAGTTAAGGCATTCAACTAAACTAGCCAACTACAGTTGATTGAATTATTTAATCAACTAACGATCTGACTATCCTCTCAATCAGCCATCCAAGCAAAACGCATCGACTTGAACAATTATTCAGTGAACTGCACCACAATGCTTGCTAGTGAAATAGGAGTTAAATGCTCCACCAAGTATGGAGCCGCTTTTAAAAGGAAAGGACGCTAGTAAATAGGCAACCGAGTTCCAATTTACCTCTAAACCGAGTTTGTAGAAGGTATAGTTGGCGAGACATTTGAGAAAGTTTACAAGCTTCTCGTTCATAGTGCTGAAGGTCATTTCAGGGAAGATGATGCCCGACTTAGGCCGCAGGCTGCCGGGCTTGCGATAATACTGCAGCTGGCGATACTTGATCACGTGCCAGAAGACACAAGCCACCAGAAGCAATGCCAGAGGCTACATTAAGATGGAAGAAGAAAAGACTCATTTCGCCAAATATAGGGATGGTGAAAGTCATAGAATGTGAATAATTTGAATGATTTCACACTACCAACAGTGGATATTGACAGGCCTGGAATTAGACTTCCAGCTAAAAAGTTCCAATAGAATCCGTTGTCACATGTTATCCCGAACTCACCTCCTGTCCTCCCTTCAATTCATGCGAATCATACTTCTGAAAAATATCACAATTTCACCTATTCAAAATTTGGCAATGCCTTGCTTCATTTTTTCCTTTTCGTTCAGTGTGCATCTCATACGAATATCTTCTAAAGCCGACAAAGCCATCTCTAGACTGATATATAGCAATGGAAGTTTGCCTCAAACTCCTTCAAAAATTACTTTTGGATGGCCTAGGCAGGGCCAGAATATGACATGCGGAGAGACTATCTTCCAGTCGACTTATCCCTTAATAATTACTAATATAGACTGCTTATAGATTTGGGGAAGACCCAGTTGTTTTGACTCTACAGCGGCATCCACGTAATACAGTGCTGAAAGCTCCCGACACAATAACCTTTTCCTCCTTCCAGCTCTCCTTAAGACACAATCAGACTACGCCTTTCCGACCGCGTACCGACAATAGCATGTTCCAGTAATTCAGGAGAACTTGTTGCTGTTGTTGCTAGCGTTCTGAGTGAAGACTAAAAGAGTGCCGGAAACAACCTGAAGCAAATGAACCTCGAAAGAGTTGTTTAAGGACATTGAGCTGATCCATACACACTGCATAATCCAACCGAACGCCAGGATACAACAGCAAAATTTTGACTACCCACCCAGAACCATAAAGTTAATAATTAATTATTTAATAAATAAAGAATTCGCCCACGAGAGCACGGCCTGTCAGCGTGATAGCAGCATGGAAAAAAGGAACTACAAAGAACAGAAAAATTTATGGGTGAAGATTTAATGTATTTGTCTGGGTGTTCAAAAGCGCTTATGTAAACGGTTAAAAGAATGAAGGAAATGAATAGACAAAATCGGGCTTACTTCAGCAAACCACAGAGTTATGTAGTTCTTTACCGTGCTTCAATGTCGGATTAACTTGATGAAATTTCCAGTGATATATGTATTTTCTCACACTGACTTTTCAAGGGAGAGAAGAAAAACAACCTTTTACTACATTCAAAATTCTTGAAGCAGTTTTAGCGTTTAGTGTGTTTTTTTTTATTAGGTAAAATAACCTTCTTCAAGTAGTCCACATAACCTACTATCCCTTCAAATGAGCGACAGCTTATGCACAAGAATAGTAAAGCACAGTCAACGTGTCCTTTGTGTCCCCTCTACTTTTCTGTTCCTACGTTACACTCACAATAACGACATTCGATGCACTGCCGGCAGAGCAAACCTGGTGCATCCATTTTTGGCCCACCCTACCAACCAAACCTCATCCACATCCGAGACTGTAGGGGTCCCTTTTACCATCTGTTGCACGGCAATTGCATAGCATTTGAGGAGTGTTAGGATGCCAAGACCATCCTCTAATGTGGCATGAGTGACGAAGCCAGTTGCCTACATCTGCAGTGAATGAAAAGACTGTGACGAATGGTACTACAACATCAAAAATTACTAACCCATTCCAGTCTTTGCATTATAAAAAGACCCTTTATATTTTAGGTGTTTGGCTGAGTTGTTAATGCGGTGAGCTTTAACAAAAAGGTGCAGGAATTCCATCACTTTCCAAATCGATGGCGATTACCATTACACAACCACATTAAAAGTACGAGTAAAAAACTTGAGACAGAAATGGTGGCAGCTGGGACACCTTTTGAATGCAAGGACAAAGCTTTCCTTAGCAGAATACATTCACGTTTCCATAATGGAAAAGAGAACGGATAGAGCAAGTGCCCCTATTTCAAGCAGTTACCTTGAGCTGTGTTGAAAAAAAAATATTTCGTCAAGGCTCGACCGGTATTAAACCTAGAAATTCGCCTGATGTTAGCCTATGAATGGAAAAAAAGGTGCTCGCGGCTTGCAACCCGAAAGCCCTTTTTATTCTCTCTCCCAATGAAATTGGGTAGTAGGTATGCATCCGACCCTAGGAAGATTAGACACACTTTACAAGAATAAATACCACCAGTGCCATAAAAGAACGCACCTACCACATCATAAGTTCAGTGCTTTCTTAACAAAGCCATGTAACGAATTTCGTTGCCCCCAACAACGAAAATACTAGTTTATGAAAGCAACATCCCAACTGGATTTCACAAATAAGAAGAGTTTTGAAACTCCTACTTTCTCACTTATGCAGCAATAATCTAATCCATGTCACGAAGTAGGAGGTGTTAGGACTCGTACTTCAAAAGCAAAAGGTACCACCGTTATTAAAGAGGCAACAGGCAGATTTCTGCATTGTGGAGCAATCAAATCATTGCAGATAACCCAAAATGCGAACGTTCATTCTAACCACTATAAAGAAACGTTAAACAACCGACTTTCCAAAAGTTTGCATATTTTCACGGTACTAATAGTCAGCGGACATTAGGCGATAAAATGTGAACGCAAAAGACAAATGACTTTGACCAAGAGATGACATTCTTTTTGTCGACGTCGAGGGTTATAAGCTCCAATTCCATCAAGTTCTGTTTCCACATCGTAGCAATGAAGTCTCTTCAACCCCATAACAATCAACAAGTAGTCTCGAACCCAATAATGGAGGTAACGAGGAGGCTACGATAACGTACGAGACGAATGACCTTCGTTCCTTTGTAATATCGATAAAACCATGGCAACAAGATGTAAGGATGAGCGTAAGTTATTCTGAGGCCAAAATGCGCCAAATGGGATAAATCTTGCGCCATCTTAGGAGTGATAAATTGAAGTGTGGAGGTGGTAACTAAAACAATAAACATGTAAGGAACAGATTACAAAGAAATTTATCTTCTAGCCCCGAAATAATCTTCATCTGAACTCTTCGTAAGTCTTCTTAGATCCGTTAGTTGATAAACAAACTCACTAAGAAAGGGATGAGGATATTGGAAAAGGAAAAAAGGCAAAAATTAGGAAACACTGACCGTGATGTACTTCGGGAAGTCTTCAACCACATCCAAACCAATCCATTTGCCCGTTCCATTAGGAAGAAGAGAAGTGATCTAGTAAATGGCAGACCAAAAAATGCAGACTTAATTGTTTCATATAGATTTGTCGGACCAATAGTTGCGCTTCGATAACCTACGCTGGACTTCGGTTGAGCCGGATTATTTGGTGCCCCCGATGCGATCATGTTGGCGTAATCAACATCGGAGACAATGTCCAACTGAAAGAGCATCTTCATGATGATTTGAAGGCCGGTGAAACAGAAGATAAAGGTGACGAGGAAGCCGTGGAGGTAGGGGAAGGGAAAGCATACCACCACGATAATCACCGGAATGATATTCGTGATTGTCACCTAGAAGATGTGAATAAACGCGGATGCGTTATGCTGCAGATGGTTCCATATCGACTAAACTCAGTCACTTTTACAAGGATCCCAAATGCATAAAAGAAGTCAACAAAGCTACGAAGAAATGGATAAATTGCTAGATATGAAACTTCCGGTCTAGATTTAAAAGCGAATCCCATTATGTTTGGACTTATGGACTATTTGGTGACATCACAGAAGGCGCAAAAGCAATTTATAGGAGGTCCAGTGAAATTCTATTTCGGGAGAAAATTTTCCACAACACATCTATCCTTTTCCTCATCCATTTGGAGTCACTTGTCTATAATTCCTGCAAAAATGCCGCATAAACGAACCCACCCCTTGAACAGATTTATGACCATCCGATTTAACCCACCATTCCATCACTACCTTTTCCTGCAGTTAATGCAAATCCAAAACGTATGAAACTCCAGCGCCAAAGAATGTCAGAACCATCCGCTATAAAATTGTTTTGTAACCAAAGATTCGACTCCAAAATAAATCTGAAGTAAAAACACAAATGCACCTCCTTTATGACAGAGAACATGACGAGAAGACAAACGACCTTGATCCAATGCACCTCCGCAAACCTCCACATTACCGTACGGGAGATTTTAACAAACCGACGGATCGATGAGGTGACGATGTTGAAAACAGAGTGAAAATCCTCCATGAAATCTATATAGGTAAGGGAAACTGGCAAGTACCTACTTGACTGGGTTTCCAATGATTCAGCGTAGTTTTGACGCGAAGAACTCGATGTGGGTAGATTTACATGCGACCTGTCTTGTTCATCGAGGTTTCTGAATGATACAGACGGTTGTAAGTACAATAAAAGAAAACGCTCACCGGTATCGATCCAAGGAGGAGATTTCGAGAAAGGGTTCATGAAAGTAGTGCATTTGAAGAATAATGACCACCATGAATGCGACAGGCATCATGAGTCGATCAAAGAGTTCGGCGCTATCAAATTGTTCCAAACCGATGGCTTTTAATCTGCAAGTTAAAAAAAAATAGATATTCATAGAGGCTGCAACCCAAAAACAGCACATTAAATGTGGGCTAAAACTCACAATTGAGGACTCAATCCGGTGCCGTTTTGCCAGTAGTACGGAATAAAGGTAAACTGATAAGTGTAGGTGCACAGGAGTACAGCAATGGAGTAAATGATGTAAATCCACCAGAATGTGGGCATCTGTTTTCGCCAAAATCGGTAGCTCACCTTTGAAGAAAAGAGGGGGATGTAACGAACTTACAGCAAACCAAACGGATTGAGCTAGATTTTGAACGCATAAAATGGCGACACAATCCTCTTAGGCAAGTTTCGAGAGAGAAGTTGGATGGATGCAGCCACTAGTGCAGTGTGTACAGAGTTCAGAACTTGCGTACAAATGGGATTGACTTCCCTTCGAAAACAATCTGGTAATAATAATTATAACCACTTAGAACGGCCCCACCTCAACTCCCTTCTCCGTTTCATTTAGTCTACTGTCTCCTTTTGTCATGATGAGAGAAGACACCATCCACCACATTAGAGATGAATAGTTTTTGTTTAGTAAATACATGACGCTAATTTGAATAAAAAGTGGAATAATGGATTTTTTTGCCCTTTGTAAAGGGGATGTTAACAATTTATCACCAAGTTCGCACGCTGAATAACAAAACATCTCTTTAGGACTAACCTAAAATAACAGGTGAGTGAGAACGCTAGACGTCCGAATTGGTTCCATTTCTTCCCTTGCTGAAAAAATTTGCATTATGCATTTACACAGCTACATTCAACTTTACCTCCTTACAGTTGAAAAGTATTGCTTCATTATGGCTGAACACAGGCCGACGCTAGAAGTTTGCACGTAGATCTGATTTGCAGCTTGTAAAAGTATCGAACGACTGGAACCTTTTCGAAAATAGTTCTTAATAAATGTCTACCGCAACTTCATGACTCTTGTGGAAGAAATTACAAGGGAAGATGTCAGAACGTACAAAGTATTTCTTTTGCAAGCTATCCTCTCTTTGTTTCAGCCTTTTATTCTACTAAAGTGGTGGTTATTCCATAACAACGTAGGTTTATTGAAGGAGTTTATCCTGGTGCTAAAGGCACTAAAGTTTATTGGAAATCCGTTGCAAAGCAGTTGGAACGTACCGTACGGAGTTCCGACAGAGGAGTCTCTATCATTACTGGTACATTAACGTTTCAACAACAAAAGATGAGTTTTTTACTCCTAGGGGCAGAATAATGCACAGAAGTGGACTTTGTAAGCCTCTAGTGCTCTAAAAAAGGCTCACTGTCACTTGAGCTTTCAAATTTGGCAAGGGAATCCTGATCTCAACAAAGGAGACAAGAAGCCCCACGAAGCCAGTAATGACATCGCATCATTCTTACACGTCATAAGAGACAGAGATAGGAAAGTGGAAAGCGCTACTTATTCTCGGTTTGGAATACCTCTTCTTACTAAAAGAAGGAAAAGAGATTGTCTAAAATCCGGAACTAGAAGACGAAACAAAATCGTCTTCCTGCTGTTTATCTCGAGACATTCAAGCGGTCAGCAACGAAGAGCGTGCATAATTTGGTCCCGCAAGACGAGTTGTCAGGAAGGAACCTAACTTCTTCAAGCCTTTATTACCCAGCAATGAATTATCAACCGAGGCTCACAAGTTTAAACTTCTTAAAAGGCCAGGAATGAACAACCCCAATGTCTATGAAAACGTTCCGGCCGATTTTGATAATGCGAAAAGTGAGATGTAGAGTGATCTTGACTAATATTTTCCGATGTTTTGCACTTGCGGAGATTTCACCTATTTACTTAGCTGTGCGTACTGTTCCCACCCAAATGGAACTTATGATTACGTTTTCCCCGCCTTTTGAATTGTTATACAGAACTATTGGATCAGTCTCAATCAGAACAGACGAATCGTTTATTGCCACCAGCCCCACCTCCCCCTATCTAAGAATTGACGAAACAATTATTCGCCGTAGTTCGGGAGGAATATAAACAATGACACTTGAACAAAACATAATAGCTAATTCACTATTTACTTCAATCATACACTTTTTGAGTCGATAAAACTAAGCTTTTCAGGAATGGTGAATCTACCATACATGTCAGGTTTTTATAATGCAACGAATGGTGAGCGATGAGGTTAAGAGTTCAGCATGACAATTAACACACAGAAAATGGGAGAAATTGTGAAGGTCTGGATGGAAGATGATATACCAAAGAAGGTTACAAACTGCATTACATTTGAAGTAACTAGAGCTTGTGTTAGAACATTGACGAGACAGTTCTCCACGCTTAAATAACCATTACAAGTGGCTTGATTAAAGTAGACAGAGGTGAAAGCATACACCGAAACGGAAAGACGTGAACACCAAATGCATTAAATATTAATTCCATTTACATTGTACTGCTTGCTGACCCCACTCATTCAAGCAGTACTTATTAAAAACCAACAACAGCTAGCCTTGAAATTTAAAAAACGCTTGGTCCTACAAATTTGTAGCACCGCTCGTCTCCAAATTGCATTACATTTTGGTCCTTTTACATTAATCACTTAAGCTAACTTTATTGGACCAAAATTATTATTAAGGATCTTGATTAATACGAAAAACACGGTACAAATTCACAAATATTGTAGGTTTCTGGCGCTTGTGATCGCCTGTGAGGTAAACAGTAGCTATGGTGGCCTTAATCTATATGATAACACCGAATGTTGTTAACAAATGTTGGTCAATTGCAAGTAAAAATGATCATGTGCACATCGCATCATGCTAGTTAGGTTGATGAATATAAGGTGACGAGATTGGCCACAACGTAGTAAAGTATTGAACATCGGTGGGTATAAAATTTCCTCGCAAACTATCATCCTACTTGACCCTTAAAACCCAACCAACTTAAAGCAGTAATAGGCTAATAAGAAAAAAATCAGGACTTGTGATGAGTAAAAACAGAACGACATTATAAGGAGGGTGGATAACAGGAACGGGCGATGAAATAAGTAACAGCAACGTCAGTTCAACCGAGACCATTTATGCATAGAGTCACCTCTTGGTCGAGTTGGAGTGACAAGAGGTAATTGGATCAAATGCGATAGTTCTAGCTCTTCTCTCCTCCCTATCAAACTGATAACCAATAAAAGTATCACTTATTGCGTTACTTCACCTTATTACGCCAATCTTATGCTTTGAAGATGGCCACCCCATTGAACATTAACGCTGGCGCTATTAGTACTAATCCAAACTCAGTGCAGTTCCTTGAGTAGCGTGACTAGTTAACTCCCTTCTGTTGCTTGTTTAAAGCGTCCAAAAAAATCCGCCGAACACCCTATCACCAGCTGACGTTTGACAATTCACGTGCACACAAAGGGCTGAAAAGGAAATTACCTCACCATTCGGTTAACCTTTATTTTTAGTGCCAGCCAAAGTAAATAATGAGCCGGCGTGTGGTGTCCAGTTGATAGCACCTCACGACCTAAACTGCCACTCTGAGCATCTTGGCGTAGGGCACCCTTTTTGCTTTCATTTAACAAAAATGCCTCTACTTTTTGCTTCTAGGGTGGCTTAGAGACTGAAAGGCATATCGTGAAGACCATCTATGCTTTACGACTGATTTGGTTCTGCTGTCGTGATGAAAAGAGGCAAAGGCGCCTCCACACCTATCCTCCTTCTGATGCCAGTTGATATGATGAATTTTCGTAAAGGAAGCATATGGAGTTAGTAAACATATTAGCTTCAATGCAAATCGACAGTACCTCAGTCCCATCCATCTCGTTCTGATAAGACCATGTCAACGAGCAGCGTCCAGTCGTAGCAAATCTGTCCCATTCAATGTGGACATTATCGTAATTCGTTACGCATTCTATATCAGTTTCAACGAACGATACCTACCGGCTTGGGTTGCATGTCCCGCAAGGTGGGCGTAACCTTGGCTTCAAATGGGGAACAAATGGGTTGCTATGGTATAGGGACAAGTCCAAACAATTTCTCTCATTGCGCCGTTATTCACATACTTTGCCAGTGGGATGCAAAAAATGAGGCCGGGCTTTATAAAGATACATGGAAAGCAGGAATGAATCAGATGCGGATTTTAGGTGTGCATATAAGGGAATATGATAATGAATTACACGACGCCGTATTATCAGGTAACCGTGATTAATCCCCACTAGGAGCAAAGGAAAGAACGGAAAAAGGAGAGCTGATAAGCCACAATTACCAAGATCGACCAAAAATATTTGAAGGTAATCGTGAGGACTAACCATGAATACGGTGAAGAAGTAGAGCAGAAGAACCATGTAGACCACTCGAAAGATGACAACAGGTCGACGCAGAGAGAAGAGGAGCATTGTGAGGCAACATAGCGCGATCCAGTAGCGCACACACAGGCCATGTAAAAATGCGGCTAGAAGGTAACAAGAAATTGATTTTGATCGAAATACCCTTAGCAGTAGCACAAGAAAAAAACGGATATCAGCGTACGATCTGCTTTAAGAGGAGGAAAGGAAACAAAGTTTTTCATCAAGCACCCAGCAATCGACGCCCATAACTATCCATTTCACCAAAGGACGAAATGAACACTATCCGTGCTGCGAGATAATAGTTGTGTCACCATGGGAAGTAGATGTTTGGGTCCAAAAATGAACTATTAACATGAAGTTTCTTTCTGCTACTACACAAGTAAAGCAAAAAAAGCTTATGCAAATTATGCGCGTAATTTGCTGCTGTCACAATTATGAAAACTGTAAAGTGCGTGCAAATGCCTACAAAATGGATGAATTACAAGCACGATAAACCTTACTAACATTCTCCACCCATTTCGACACATTATGTACAATAGTTCGTGTTCCGCAAACTGGATAATTTCAATTCAGGCCCGGGCTGAAGCTTACTAATATTTTCAAAGGCGAGAAGTTACATTGTATCAGCATCGAACTGCCTTGGGATGCCATCGAAAATAATGCTTTAAGGCAACAGTGCTTCAATCAACCGCAGAAATGTGAAAGATGAAGATTGAAACTATTTATTAAGGCCTATATAAACTGCAACCACGGAGCAGAGGCTTTGTGTCACACATTAGCAGGGGATAACGGGAGGGAGGTTCCAAACCTAACCACTATTAAACTCCCTTTGCAGTAAAGAATGATGTTCTTGCGCTCGATGCGTTGTGACTTTGGCACATAAGCAAAAACATTTGCAAATGGACTGCACTATCGAGCTGCTTGGGTGAGAATTCATAATTCGTCCCAAAAAGCGAGATTTGAAAAAATCGCATACCGAAATTTGAGATAAGGATCCAAGACAAGGGATTCCACCTCTGCTTAATTCTTATTCAACAAAACATCCTCTCCCAGGTCCTAACTAATCATAATGATCGAATGAAAAAAAGGTAGTAGCGGACTGATTTCATTCTAGGGATAACACGTTAAACAGAATGTTAATGTTGAGTAATTGAGTGTCATATGAGCATAACAAAAGGCAAAGAAGAGCAGGCACTACAACAAAACCCAATTTCCAAGATTTGGGAAAAAATGTTCCACAGAATGGCTATTGAGATGTAGTTTAGCCGTACTAGACGCCTCCAATGAGAGTCGATCTAGTGCAGTTCGTTAGTGAAAAGTTGACAGTCGAGTTACAGAGTACTTTACACAAACCATCGCCATGACCACAGCATGAATTAAGCAATAAAATCTTCGGTCTCGCTTTGCATAGGTTCAAGTATGAGCTTCCTTACGTGCTTCAAGGTTTCCAAGGCTCTGCACTTTGATTTGTCTTAAAAATTAACTTAGGCGCTGTCCACATCTTTGCAACCAAAGAAGAACCACAAAGAAACAATTTTCATTATTTTATCGATATGTTTCAATCTATAACCAAATGCTACTAAGCGCCTCGCTCAAAAAAGTGCCAATGCTTAGGGGAGAGAGTAGGTAAACTGATGCTCGTCAGGAATGCAGAAAGTAATGATAGTGACAAGCGAAGAACAAGTTATTTAATATATCCATAACTACCCTTATGATGATTTGAGGTTAGATAACAAGAGAAGGAAGTTAAAGCACCTGTGCGCCAAAAGAGATCCCAAATTGATTGCCCAATAAGGAGGTGGTATGAAAAAAGGTCTTCTGAATTGAGGAGCGCAACAAAGAACAAACTAAAACAGCCGAACTCCAATTATAAGGCAAAAGAAAAGGTAAAAAGGTCTCTGGAACGCGAAAAGGCATCCAGCTTATATATACTGAATGAAGCAAAATTTACCTGACATTTGCGATGTCTATTGGACCCTATAGTACCGCTGCAATTGAGTGATAAATGGCTAATGGCCACCCAAAGCAGTTTCCAGAATTGATTGATATTTTCAGCAAGCCTTAAATCGACTGTACACATCGATGGATCTTTCAAATTCCGCCGTTCAAATAACACTGGCTACTTCGGTTAGAACACCACTGAGGAGATACAATAATAAATAATCCATCTAGACGACCCAAATGTCCACGTGAAGCCATACGACATATCGCATCAAGATCGAAAGTGTTAAAGTAAAAAAGATGACTTTAAGAATTAAACGACAACCCTAAAAGCAGGAGAAGATCGGTACTAGGGAAAGAGTTTTTAAGAAAAGGCAGTAAGCCTCGCAAACAGCAGAAATGCAACAGTAATATTGGCACCAAAATGGGAAAAAATACACGATGATAAAAAATAGGTCTGCGAACAGCTTGCGCTAAGAAAAAGCAAAATAAACCAATCGAAGATAATTGATGTGACAACTTCTCTGCGCTTATCGATACACATGCGTGTCATGGTAAAAATATTCCAGTAGTTTTCAAAGTTCTAGCAATAATGTAAACGATTTTTAGAGATCAGAAAAAATCTGACTGCTTCCCATTATCAAAAAGTGCTTAAGCAAGTTTTACAAAGAGAGTTGCATGGTCCACTCGTATGCTGCCACCTTCCTATTTAAGGCAATTAGCTTCTCTCACAAGGCTACCAAGGCAAGCCGCAACATTTCCCCGTTTACCTCAACTTCTTTTTTGAACTGTCCAGTT